GAACGAGGCTGTTTCTCATAAACATTGTCTTCGTAAGACTCAGCTGTAGTCCTACATTTCCACACTCACAGTCAAAGTCGGCCAGCATTTGTGCCGCTTGGCTGATGTTTGGTATTATTAAAACAATGTCATCAGCAAAGCGGAGGTGGTGTAGCTACCGACCATCTATCTTCACTCCCATTCCTTCCCATTCCAGTCGTCGCATGATGTTCTTGAGGGTGGCACTGAAGAGTTTCGGTGAAATGGTATCACCCTGCCGCACCCCTCTCTTGACATCAACGATCACTTCTTTGTAGAATGGTGAGATCCTGGTAGTGAATCCACAATACAGCTCACGGAGGATCCTGATGTATTGGGCTTGAATGCCCTGATTGGCTAGGGCTTCAATGACCGCTTCCGTCTCAACAGAATCAATTAGTAATTGATCAAACAGTAATTCAATTACCAAACATGATTTATAAATAAAACAGAAATCAGTGGTGTGGTGTGGTGTGATTCAAAAATACGTTCAGGTACAAAGTAGTAACATCGAAGAGAAGTGAATAAAAGGTCGATGAATTACCTATTGAAATTTGAAGTAAGTGCAACTGGGGAAAAAGTTAGTAGAAGGCTTTGTGTGCAGGAATCTGAGGTTTGATCCTGGCACCACATAATCTTCTGAGTATTGCCAGGTGTGCCCCCAAAATAAAGTGAAACAAAACAAAAACCATTGTAAGATTTTTGGATTGTACTGGAAGTGGTGGAAGTGCTGTACTAATGTAGATTGTATTACATTGAGGGTATGGGCTGGAGAGACAGTACAGCGGGTAGGACTTGCCTTGCATGCATCAGACCCAGGTGGATCTCTGATATTCCGTATGGTACCCTGAGACCGTCTGGAGTGATCCTGAGTGCAGAGCCAGGAGTAAGTCTCGACCACAACTGGGCTTGGTGCAAAAGCAAAACTCAAAAAAAAAAAAAGTGAAGATACATAAGGTAAATCACAAATAGAATATAAAAATAAAATGTTAGACATAAAGCCCACTGTATCATGAATATATTAAATATAAATGGAATGAACACTCTTATTTTATTGGGGGGGTGTCCCCAGCAGTTTTCTGGGTGCAGGGACCATACCTGGCCATAGTATTACCAGAGCACCATGAGGTTGGGCAGAGGAAAAAAAAAGAAAAACTGTACTAGTGTGATGGAGGAAATTCCTTAATGATTAAAGGGTTAATTCGTTAGGATGATACAGTAATTCTAAGTTTGTGTGTACCTAATAAGAGAGCGTCAGAGTATATAAAATATAAAACTAAATATTCAAGAAGATAAATCAGTTTTATAGTTAGAGATATTCACATACCTCAGAGTTTACTTGACCACAAATAAACTGACATCAAATCAGAAAGGATATTAGTGATTAGTACAACACACGAACCAACTGGATTTCATTGACATGTATAGAAACTTGGGCTGGAGCGATAGCAGAGCGGGTAGGGAGTTTGCCTTGCACACAGCTGACCCGGGTTCGATTTCTCCGTCCATCTCAGTCCGGAAGCTACCGAGAGTATCCCGCCCACACAGCAGAGCCTCGAAAGCTCCTCGTGGCATATTAGATATGCCAAAAACAGTAACAAGTCTCACAGTGTAGACATTACTGGTGCCTGCTCGAGCAGATTGATGAACCATGGGAGGACAGTGCTACAGTGCTGGAGAGAAACTTACCCTTAGTTAAATCCCACAACGTACTTTCTTTCCAGTTACACATCAAACATAATATAAAGATGGAAAATCATAACTCAAATGTTTGTGTTGTTTATTTTCACTTGAAGCTATATTTGAGGCAGGGAAGGCCCTCATGTTACTCTGTAAGAGCACAGGAATGATGCTCTGATTTTCTTGATGGCTGTTCTTCCACAAAGATTCAAGTGGCAGGCAAAGAATGTCTGTCCCTGTCTCTGAACATGCATGAGGTTTCCAGATAATAATCTAGGATTGGGCTTAACAAACCTGACTGAGCAAAAGAATCACCTGGGAAGATTTTTAAAAAACATTCCAAGGCCCCACCTCCTGGAGATTTTGTGTTTTGAAAAGGCCACTGGTCTGATTCCAAGTATTTGAACAGATTTGAAAGTCATTGAAATAATGTTTGTCTTGATGTGGAGAGGGAGGGGGAGGGAGCCAGGAGGAAGAATAAAAGAATCCAAGTAAATGAATTTGGAGTATTAACTGGGTCAGGACTGGGTGTGGCTGAACCCCACAGCATGTGGCAAGAGGCAGATCCACTTCTGAAAGTCTTATAAACATGGAAATTAAGTATTTTTGCGGAGCCAGTCAAAGGAAAAAAGTGCAGAGCACATCAAAGGAAAAAAGTGCCACTCTTTGCTTTTCATATTCAGTGATATCCTCTGCATAAACGAAGAGGAGGGCAGTTCTTAGCATAGATGTAACCGCATTTGTTTTATAGTAAGCTGTTGGTATTTTCCATAGACTGTGCTTTTTAATATAAACCAAACTTGTTTTGAGTTCATTTGCTGGCAGGCATAAGCAATGATTCAAAGGACATTATGATTTTGTTGTTAAAAATGTTTAAAACAGGCTGCATTAATATTTTTGTTAAAAATAATGAGGAATTAAGAGTTAATGAAGATAAAGTGTTCTCTTTTTTTCCCTTTTCAAAAGGTTATGTGGGACAGGCCTGATGTTCATGGCTCAGGTTGGGGTCCCCAGCCCTACTTTAGGAAGTGAGATGTAGGTGAAGAGTAGGTAAAGATGGTAGATGTTGTAGAAGTCTCAGTAGCTGACAAGAGAAACTGACACCAAATCAGAGATATTTTCTGATCTGAAAAGATAGAAGGGCAGAGTGGAAGGACTGGCTAGAAAGGCTAACTTTCACTTCAGGCCTGTTGGAGATAGGAACTTTGCCGTGAATTTGTTAACATCTTACACTCCTAAAGCTTACTCCTGGCTCTGTGCTCAAGAAATACTCCTAGTGGTGCTTGGGGGGGCATAATGGGGTGCTGGGGATCAAGCCCAGGTCGGCTGCTTGCAAGGCAAGCACCCTGCCCTCTGTACTCTCTCTCTAGCCTAAATTATCTTTCTTTGTAAGGTATCACAGAGCACTTCTTTTTTTCTTTTTTTTTTCTTTTTAGCTGTAGTTTTTTCTTTTTTCAGTTTCCACAAGGATATTCTCTTCCATTACTGCTAACCAAGAGGACATTTTCCTGTGTGCCTTTGGAAACTGAGTGAAGTGTTCTCTATAGGTGGGCTAACTGGAGGTTTTCTGTTAGCTCTCCCTTGCAGCTCTGCAAGTGAACCGACTGTGAGGGGGCTGGAGCGACAATACAGAGAGTAGGGCACTTGCGGGGTTTCATCCCCAGCACCACAAGTCCCCAGAGCCCAGCCAGGAGTGATCCCAGAGCGAAGAGCACTGTTGGATGTGGCCTACACACACACACACATTAATAACTATAGTATTCAGAGCTTGGGGAGAGGGGGGCTTTATACACGGCCCACCTGGATTCTGTCCCTGGCACCCCATGTGGTCCCCTCAGCCCACCAGGAGTGATCTTGAGCACAGAGCCAGGAGGAAGCCCTGAGCACTGTTGGACGTGACTCAAAAAGCAGGTTTTGTACCGTGAATATATAATACCGTAGCATTACTGCTTCAGGTGTGGAATTGCTTACAGTGAATGTATGGGCTGTCGTACAGTACGTGGTCTCTGCTATGTTTCTGTGAAGGTTCCTCTCCGATTCCAGGACTGTTATTCCACATGACTCTTTTTTCTTCTCTCTAGACTTCTCCAGACAACCCCGGGACAGTAGGTGGAGTGCACAGCTGTATTGTGTTGCCTTCCTGCTTTTTGTGTTGCCTTCCTGCTTTTTATTTCTGATTATTCTTGGCCTAGTGTTGGCTGCGTCTTTCTCTGCCACCTATAGCCCACTAACTAGACCCTGCCTAATTGGCCACTGCAAGGGTCCCAGGGCCCTTCAGTCCTACTCAGAGATCTGTCTTTTATGTGTCTTGTTAAATCTTTAGTTAGAATTATCCCAAAAGTAATATTATGATAAGCAAATTGGAATTTTACCCCCGCTTTCAAAAAACAATCTCTCTCTGTTTAGGCACTTCTCTTTTGTTTTGATGTTCTGATTTTCTAGATGATGATTCTTCCACAAAAATTCAAGTTGTAGGCAAAGAATATTTGTCCCTGTCTCTTAACATGCATGAGGTTTCCAGATAATACTCTAAGGAGTGCGCTTAACAAACCTGACTGGGCGTAAAATCCCAGCGGTGCTCAGAGATCACTCATGGCGGGACTAAGAACCAGATGTAGTGCCAGGGTTTGAACCCGGGTTGGCCATGTACATGAGTGCTATAACTACAGTACTGTCACACTGGCCCAAGGTTCTCTTTCTAATGTCCCTGTCCCTTACTATAAACCCTTCTGGTGTCCCAAAACTACTGAAGGAAAAAACAAAGTGATAAGTAATGCAGGTCTTAACATATTCCCCCCAACACACACACACACACACATACACACACACACAATTTCTGTCTGTAAAAATGAGGACAGGGAGAGGGCAGTACCTAATAGAGAATTACTCACTTGTCAATGGTGGGGTGCCCTGCCTCAGTGATTGGGGAGATTGTAGTGTTAGCTGGAGAGGTTGTAACCCCCCCCCAATCCTTGCCACAAGGATGAGAGAATGACAGTAGCAGTCACAAGGTCTCAGACATCTCGGGGAGCCCTTCATGTTTGTGTGTGCCCCTTCAAGAGCTGTTGAACTCATCAGCACGTTGAATCGTTGTACTAAAATAATGTAGCTTGGTTGATTCCTTTGCCTCTTGAGTCCTTCATCTGTTACGGATTTTGATGCTTGGTGTCCATGTGATGTCAGGAAGTCTGCCTGCATGATCGCTTTGAGCCTGTCCAACTCCTGCAGGAAGAGAGGGGAAGGGACATTTTCAAGGTGATGCAGAGTAATAGCTGAACTCTTCTCTTCCCGCGCCCATGCAGCAGAAGCAGCAGGCCGGCCCTCTGCAGATCCAAGCATGGTTGTGGACAGTGTGGAAGCAGGGGACACAACACCTCCCACGAGAAGAAAGAGCAAGTTCTCAAGCTTTGGCAAGATCTTCAAGCCCTGGAAATGGCGGAAAAAAAAAAGTAGTGATAAATTCAAAGAGACATCAGAAGGTAAGAGACTTGAGATTTTAAATACATGTTGTGAAAGTTCCATTTGGAAGTGCCAGCTTTTTCCTTGTTGTCTCAAACTTCTATAGCTCCTTATTTGAGAGGGGGATTGAATCTTTTTCGTGGTGGGGGGAGGGAGGGGCCATACCCGGTGGTGCTCAGGATTTCCTCCAGATTCTGCTCAGGGTTAATTCCTGGCAGTGCTGGGGAACATATGCAGTATGGAAGATCAAACCAGGGTCAGGCAGGTGGAACGAAAGAGCCTTAACTCCTGTCCTGTCTCTTCAGCCCCTAGGGATCGAATCTTTTACAATTAAAAAAATAAATAAATTCGGGGCTAGAGCGATAGTACACCAAGTAGGGCATTTGCCTTGCATGCGGCCAACACGGGTTCGGTTCCCAGCATCCCATATGGTTTCCTGAGCACCTCCAGGAGTAATTCCTGAGTGCAGAGCCAGAAGTAACCCCTGAGCATCTCTGGGTGTGACCCCAAAAGAAATTTTTTTTTATTTTTTTATTTTTTGCTTTTTGGGTCACACCCGGTGATGCTCAGGGTTACTCCTGGCTCATACACTCAGGAATTGCTCCTGGCGGTGCTCAGGGGACCATATGGGGTGCTGGGAATCAAACCTGTGTCAGTCATGTTGGCTGCGTGCAAGGCAAACGCCCTACCCGCTGTGCTATTGCTCCAGCCCCAAAAGAAAAAAAAATTTTTTTTTTAAAAATTAAAAAAAAGATTGTCTTTTGGGCTGGAGAAGCAGCCGAAAGGCTGAACACATGCTTTGCTTGTGCGCTGCCTGGTTTGGGTTCCCCAAGCACTGCCAGGAGCAACCCTAGATCACAGAACTGGATATAGCCTCCCACCCCCACCAATAAGCAAATGAATCTTTTTCTTTTTAACAAAGCTTTTGTTTATTGAGGGGGCAGAGTTGGAGCACCCCCAGTGGTGCTCAGGTGGTGCTCAGGGGACCACATGGGGTATTAGGGATTGAATCGAGTCAGCCACGTGCAGGGCAAGTGCCTTACCCGCTGTACCACCTCACAGGCCCCTAATAAATCTTTGATTTTGAGGATTGGCAAATACATTTTCTGAACTACATCAAATCTAAAATGCTCCTTTTATACACTAGCCAGTTCCTCTCCCAAAAAGATCAGCCCAAATACGTATTACCGAAATTTTAATTAAAAATGAAGACTATGGGGCTGGAGCAATAGCACAGTGGGTAGGGCGTTTGCCTTGCACGCGGCCGACCCAGGTTCGATTCCCAGCATCCCATATGGTCACCTGAGTACTGCCAGGGGTGATTCCTGAGTGCAGAGCCAGGAGTAACCCTTGTGCATCATTGAGTGTGACCCAAAAGCAAAAAAAAAAAAGAAAAATGAAGACAGTGCTAACATAAGGTAGGGTACTTGCCTTGCACGTGATCGACCAGGGTTTGATCACTGTTAACCTGAGCACCACCAGCAGTAATTACTGAGTGCAAAGCCAGGGGCAAGCCGTGAGCATAGCTGGCTGTGACCCCAAAAAATAAATAATAATAATAGCTAAAAATGAAAAGATTAAAGTTATCTAACTCAGCCTGTGGGGCCTCCCACCCTCCAGTGGGGAAAGGGCCGTGGAGTACAGTCCCCGGCCCTCTCCCAGGCAGAATGTTCATTCTCCCACCTGTAAAATTAGGGCTTGAAGTTGACCTCTGACTACCACATTTCTGAGTGTTGTTTTTCAACTTAATATTAGTTTTAGAGCGAAAAATATCTATGCGAAAACCGAGAGAAGAGCTGGTTAAAAGAGGAGTTTTGCTGGATGACTCTGAGCAGGGTAAGTTTGCAATAAAAAGTGTAAGCCCATGACTGGAGAGATAATATAGCAGGTGGGGTGCTTGCCTTGTACACAACCAACCCAGGTTCAATCCCCAGCACCCCATGTAGTGCCCCAGCACATCAGGAGTAATTCCTGAGTGCGGAGCCAGGATTAACCCCTGGACACTGCTGGGTGTGACCTCTACCCCAAAAATATAGTATGTGTCTAGGACCAGAGTGAATATAGAGGGAGTAAGGTGCTTGCCTTGCACTTGAACTGACTTGGTTCGGTCTCTGGCATCCCATATGGTCTCCCAAGCACCACCAGGAGTAATTCCTGAATGCAGAGCCAGGAGTAACCCTGAGCATTGCTGAGTGTGGACCACATCCCTCCCCTAAAAAAAAACAAACCAACCATAAACTCACTCTCTCTCTCTCTCTCTCTCTCTCTCTCTCTCTTTCTCCCCCCTTGAAGCTTTAGGAGTTAAACTCCAAAAAAACAAGACTTAATCCCTTATCCTGTTTCTTTAACTTCCTCTCTCTGGTGGGATCCACACAGACTTCTTTTATATGTGCTTGATATCTTTTGTGACCCAGCTCTTACCTGTCTTTCCAGTTCTACCCTTAACTACTTACCTGTGTCCATTCTACTAGACCAAATTAGTTGCCAGTTTCCAAAACTGTTGAGTGCCTTCACACTGTTACTCTCTTCCAGCACAGCCTCTCCCCATCCCATTGGCAGAGTTGTCAGCTTTTGCTCTTTCCAGATCTGGTTTTCAGCTACCACTTTCTGTGAAGCTTTCCAAACCTCATTCCCACTCAGTATTTTTCTTCTTCATTCCTCCCATAAACTTCATTCCTGTCATAGCATTTTACTCTTTATCACTGCTGCTATTTAGCATTGTAATTGTGTTTAACAAGTCTGTCTTACTCATTTAGCAAGGCATCTGGCACAGAATAGACAGTCCCCATGTTTAGTGGGAAAAGAAACTTAACTTGGGCCGGAGAGATAATATAGTGGGTGAGGCACTTGCCTTGCACACAGCCAACCTGCATTCAGCCCCAGCATCCCATATGGACCCCTGAGCCCTACCAGAGTAATCTGTGAGCATTGAGCCAGGTGGGGGGCTGGGCGGAGGTAGGGGTAGAAAAGAAAGGGAGGGAAGGAATTTTCTTTTCCGTTTCTACTATAAATGATCTTGACCTAGATTTAAACTGAATAGGAAGTGGAGGGACTGCAGAGATAGTACAGCAGGTAGGGCATTTGCCTTGCCAACAGCTGACCCAGGTTCTATCCCTGGCATCCCAAGTGGTCCTCCAAGCACTACCAGGAGTAATTTCTGAGCGCAGAGCCAGAGATAACCCCTGAACATCTCCAGGTGTGGCCCCAAAATAACAAAAAAATAAGGACGTGGAGGAGGGGGCGAAAGAGTTTAGAAATCCCCAGCTTTCTCCCTATCTGACCCTACCAACTCTTGTCCGTTTATTCTTTTCTTTGTGTCTTTGCAGGCAGTGAGGATCCTGGGAAGTTGGGTCATTCCATGTTAAAGAATGGCCACACCAGCCCCATCAGGAGCACCAGCTCTTCTAGTTCCATCCAGGGAGAAGAAGAGCCAGGAAGAACAAGTCTTAGGAAACCCATTCCAGAAGAGGAGCCAAAGAAGCGGCTAGGTGAGGAACTTGGGCTATTTTATTTGTAAGAACAGTGGATCAGGCTGGAGCGATAGCACAATAGCACAGCGTGTAGGGCGTTTGCCTTGCACATGGCCAACCCGGGTTTGATTCCCAGCATCCCATATGGTCCCCCGAGCACTGTCAGGAGTGATTCCTGAGTGCATGATCCAGGAGTAACCCCTGTGCATCGCTGGGTGTGACCCCCCAAAGAAAAGAACAGTGGATCAGGGCCAGAGAAATGGTACTGCAGGTACAGCATTTGCCTGGCATGTGGCCAACCTGGGTTTGATCAACAGAATCCCATATGGTCTCCTGAGCACTGCCATGGGTAATTCTTGAACACAGAACCAGGAGTAACCCTAAACCCTTGAATGTCACCAGGTATGCACCTCCCCCCGGAAAAAAAAGAAGAAGAGAACTAGATTGGGGCTGGAACGATAGTACAGTGATTTGGGTGCTTGCTTTGCATGCTGCCAACCCTGGCTGAGTCCCTGGCATCCCATATTGTCCCCCAAGGACTGCCAGGAGTAACCCCTGAGCATCACCAGGTATGACCAAAAAACACCAAAACAATGGATCACTCATTCTTATTACCTCATAGGTTTGCCAGACTAAAAAGCGGGAAATGAAATTCAGAGAGAATTCGTTTTTCTCCTCAGTCACAACTTTACCCCACCACTCCTCAGGACATCTCACTATATATTCCAGACCACAGTCCTCAGGCCGGCATCACTCTCCAGTCATAAAATGCCCAAAATTTGTGCTTTTTCAAAAACAGAATAGAATATTAAATACCTGCAGACTATTTTAAACACTTTCCTCTTCCATCCAAGGATTTACTGATGTGTCTTTTCCAGGTGCTAGGGCTTGTGCGAAAAATCAGTACCCTAAATAGTTTCTCTCGCTGATGGAGTATCATAAGCCTTAATCACCTTAAATCTGGGAAACTTTTGTTTCCACAGTATCAATTAAAAAGATACTTGATGAGGGAGCTGGAGTGGTAGTTCAGTGGGTAGGGCCTTTGCCTTGCATGCAGCCAACCCAAGTACTATTCCAGTCATCCTATATGGTCCCCTGAGTAACGCGAGGTGTGATTCCTGAGTGAAAAGCCAGCAGTAACCCCTGAGTATTGCCAGGTGTGACCCAGAAAGCAAAAGAGAAATAAAAACAATAGGTGACGAAGTTGAGTCTAACTTCACAGATACATCAGCATTTTGAGTCTGCACTTTCTTCCCTGTCAAATCATTTCTGTTCATACACAGGATCAACTGGGAGCCAGCCAACTTCTGAAGCAGAGTGCACTCCTGAGAATGTGCCCAAACAGCCTTTACTTCCCCCTAAGAGACCCCTGTCCTCCTCTTCCGAAACCAACGAAGGGCTAACAAAGGACACCGCTTCCTCCAGCAGCTCGTCAAGGTCCAGCTCCTCCACTGCCTCATCTACGAGCCTAGCAAAGACTCTTCCTCCCCATGTGCCCCCAGTCCCAGCTCCCAGGACTCTGCCTCCGGCGCCTGCAGGCACTAACACTACAGCGACCCCGAATCTCACTCACACGCTCCCTGCCAAGCAGCCCCCCGTCCCACCTCCGAAACCCACTCACAGAAATAGCAGTCCCATCATTGGTAAGTCTGTAGTTTCTGGGCTTGGGGGATTGCTTTAGTTTGGGATGGTTATTTGCCTATGAGTGATGGTCTCGATGCAGTTGGTCTGTGAAAGAGTCTTAGTGGCCAGAGAGATAGGACAACTATGGTCAGTCCATGGAGCACCACAAGAGTGTTCCCTGAGAATCCACCAGGAGTAAGCCCTGAGCACTGTCGGGTATGGACCCAAACACTAAAAGAGAGAAAGCCTTGAATGGCTGGAGCGGTAACTAAGTGGGCTGACTGCATGCTTCGCCTTTGGGGGGCCAGGGCGGCTCCCCAGCACCTCAGTCCCCACAGGCACTGCTGATCACCACCAGTAGGTGTGGCCCAATATTCAAAAAGAAAATGAGTCTTGAAAGTGAGACTCTTGGGGCTGGAGCGATAGCACAGTGGATAGGGCGTTTTTGCCTTGCATGTGGCTGACTGGGTTTGTTTCCCAGCATCCCATATGGTTCCCTGAGCACCACCTGGGGTAATTCCTGAGCGCAGAGCCAAGAGTAACCTCTGTGCATCGCCAGGTGTCATTGTCACTGTCCTCCCGTTGTTCATCGATTTGCTTGAGCGGGCCCAGTAACGTCTCCATTGTGACAATTGTTACTGTGTTTGGCATATTGAATATGTCACGGGTAGCTTGCCAGGCTTTGCCGTGCGGGCGAGATACTCTCAGTAGCTTGCCAGGCTCTCCAAGAGGGGCAGAGGAATCGAACTTGGGTTGGCCATGTTGGCCGCTTGCAAGGCAGACGCCCTACCCGCTGTGCTATCGCCAGGTGTGACCCCCCCCCCCCCCAAAAAAAATGAGGCTCTCGGGGCCGGAGCGATAGCACAGCAGGTAGGGCATTTGCCTTGCACACGGCTGACACAGGTTCGATCCCCGGCATCCCATATGGTCCCCTGAGCACTGCCAAGAGTAATTCCTGAGTGCAAAGTCAGGAGTATCCCCTGAGCATTGCTGGGTGTGACCCAAAAAGGGAAAAAAAAAAAAGAAAGAAAATGAGGCTCTCGGGCCAAAGCGATGGTACAGTAGTGAGGGCATTTGCATGGCACCCAGCCGACCCAGGTTCAATCCTTGGCACCCCACATGGTTCCCCAAACCCTACCAGCGGTAAGTCCTGAGTGCAGAGCTAGGAGTAAACCCTTGAGCATCTCCAGGAATGACCCAAAAAGAAGAAAGAAGAAAAAAGAAAGAAGCTGAGCTTGTCTTTTAGAGCTGCAGATGTGGTTCCACCATAGAGCACTTGTTTTGCATGTGCAGGGTCCTGAGATCAATGCCTGGCACCACCAAAAAAAAAAAAAAAAAGGAAGAAGAAAAGAATAAATATAATGAGGCAGCCAGCTTTGCCTATGAGTAGGGTAGAATCACAAAAAATAGGTCCAACTGAGAAGGGTTAATACCTTTTCTTTTTTTCTTGTTTTTGTTGCTTTAATGGTGCTCAGAGCTTATTGCTGGCTCTGTGCTCAAGGCTCGCTCGACAGTGCTTGGGGGACAATATGTAGTACGAGGGTCAAAGCCTGGCTGTGTGGGAGGCAGTCACCTTCCCCGCTATACTAGCTATACTATCTGTCTAGTCCATTACCTATTTTACAACAACAGAGAAAGAAACTACCAAGACCTTATTTAGCACACTCGATAAGAAGATAGTTACATGCATAGACGTTCATGTATATAATTAGCAGTCGGGTACTTGCCTTGCGTATGACTGACCCATGGTCTCTCCCCGCACCACATACGGTTCCCCAAGCCTTACCAGGAGTGACCCCTGAATGAAGAGCTGGGAGTGGCCTAGAATCCCCAAAAAAAGGTAGTTTTATTCAGCCTGGGGAGATTGACTCAAAAGGCTCAATGTGCAAGAAGCCTCGCATGCAAGGTCTGATTCCAGGCCCTGCATATTTCTCCAAGTGCTGCTGAGAGTGATTCCTGGTCCCTGAGCTGGCAGTAGCTCCTGAGCACCACAGCCGTGGCCTGGAAATCAGAGGGACAAAGAACTCATCAGGCCAAGAAGACGGCTCTGAGGACAAGTGCTCCTGCTTTGTTTGCAGAAAGCCTGGTCAGCCCTGGCACTGCAGGGTGCGACCAAAACAAGAATGTTGCTCTTCATGAAATAAGTTGTAGAAGAGAACAGGCAGAAAGGGTAACCAGTAGGGGCCTAGGAATGTGGTAGAACATATTGTCTGGCATAGGTGAGGCCCTGAATCAGATCCTGGCACTACTTGGCTCCCCAAGCACCATTGTGTGTGGCCCCAGGAAAAGTAAAGATAAGATAGGGGTCAGAGAGAGATTACAGCAGGTAGGGCCTTACACACAGCTGAACTGGGTCCTGTCCCCAGTATCGCATAGAGTTTTTCAAGGAGTGAGACCTGAGTACTTTTTTTGTGTTGCCCCAAAACAAAAGAAAAAGGTAATCAGATGGGGTACTGGTGAGATGATTCAGTGATTAAGGCATTTGTCCTACACATGGCTGACCCCTGTTCAGTACTTGAAATCTCATATGGTCCCCTGAGCACTTCCAGAAGTGATCCCCGGGGTAGGAATAAGCCTGAGCACAACCGGGTGTGGCCCCCAACGATCAAAATTATAAAATAGGGCTGGAAAGATAGAAGAAGGATTAAGTCATTTGCTTTGCATCTTGCTGACCCCAGTTTAATCCCTGGTTTCACATACGGTCTCCTGAGTACCACCAGGGATCCCTCTTGAGCACAGAGCCAGGAATAGCCCCAGTGCTGGCGTAACTCCAGACCACACACACACACAAATGAAATGAAAAACAACATACCCTGTCAGCTTTCATTGGCTTTATTTAATATTTACCTGAAGTGCTGATTCAGTCTGTTTTCTTTACATAAATACAACCCTTAGAGGAGTTTTCATGAAAGGGAAGAGATGAAGGAAGGTGGGTTTTTCAGGAAAAAATACAGATTTAGCGCCACTTCAAATTAATAATTGAATGGAGCAGTAAAACCGTGCTTGGAAAATGCTTAGTACCATCAAGTTCAGTGGGGTGGAACCCTGAAAGTAGAACCTTGAAAAACTGGCTTCCAATTGATGGCATAACAGGCTGGAGAAGCTAGATAGAAGCAGGCTGTAGATTGTTATTAGCACCAGCAGCAGCTTGAATTGAGCGCCATGCTGAATTATCTCCGAGGCACTTGCACCTCGGTGTACTTACTTTCGGATGCTCCTGGTAAAGGAGGCTGATCTCATCTATTAGGTAGTTGGGGCAATTAGAGTGTGCAGAAGAGGTGACTCATCCGAGGCAGCAGTTAGTGGGGAGGAGCCAAGCCTTGGCTCTCCAGCTCCCCAGCGCAGACTTTGTCCTGCACACCTGTTTCCCCACAGATGCTCCTCCCAGCCTGCTTACGCCACTTCTACTCGGGACCCCTTTTGGCCTGAGAAATTTGTATGTGACTCCAGTGTGCCGTGTATAAAACAGGCACGTAAATCAAACTTTTACTGATAATAAATCATTAAAAACTTAAAAGGTTTTGGGGGCTGGAGTGATAGCACAGCGGGTAAGGAGTTTGCCTTGCACGCGGCCGACCCGAGTTCAATTCCCAGCATCCCATATGGTCCCCTGAGCACTGTCAGGAGTAATTCCTGAGTGCAGAGCCAGGAGTAACCACTGTGCATCACCGGGTGTGACCCAAAAAGCAAAAACAAAAAAACCTTAAAAAGTTTTTTCGATAGTGACCAAGCGTGCAGCCAACCCCAGTTCAGTCCCCAGCACTGGCCCACTGGGTGTGGCCCCAAACCAAGAAAATTCCATGACCCCGCCCAGGGTCATGACCAGCAATTTAGGAAGCTAGGATTGGACCAGAAAGATAGTTTTCAGTGGGTAGGGCATTTGCCTTGCACTGGTCAACCCAAGTTTGATCCCCAGCATACCATATGGTTCCCTGAGCTCCCAGCAGGAGTAGTTCCTGAGTGCAAAGCCAGGAGTAACCTCCGAGCATCGCCAAGTGTGACCCCAAAAAACAAAACATAGAAAAGCTAAGGTAGGTGGGTGTTCTCATCCTGATCACCCCTCGTAGGTTTGCTAGGTAGGCAGACAGGTTGAATAAAGGAGGGGCAGACAGAAACCAAACTCTGGGTAGTGCCCCTGTCGCTTATTATAGATGTCACACTGCAATGCTGTGGACCTGAAACTAGTGTGAGGTTATAAATCAATGTCACTACAGTAAAAAGTTTTTTAAAGCACAGATTGTTGGACTAGCTGATATGCTTCTGATTCAGTAATGCTGGGGAAGTACCAAACTACATTTCTAGTAAGTTCCAGGGTGCTGCTGCTGCTGCAGTGTATGGCCTTCTGAGGTGAACAGCCTGGTAGCCCGCCCTTTTCAGGACAAGATATCACAAATGATAGTATAGTACTGAGCCCCAGGCCCCGCCACAGAGACACTCTTTGTTGAGTGACTGAGAGCAGGTCCTGTGACTAGAAACATAGTCATATCAGCCCCTGAGTGCTCATCAGTAGGAAGGAAAATGGGACAGTCTGCGTAGTTTTTTGGGGGTTTGGGGGCCGTGTAACCCCTGGCAATGCTCAGCGGTTAATCCTGGCTCCGCACTCAGGAATTACTCCTGGCGTTGCTTGGGGGACCAGCTGGGATTCCAAGGATTGAACCAAGATCAGCTGTGCCCAAGGCAAACAGGCAAACACCCTGGCTACACATGTATATTTCTAGCCCCTATAAGGACAATTGTATTCCAAAATTATGATACTACAAATCTTTTGCATTTAAAGGGGGGGGGTTCTTTCATGAAAGGATTATATTTACAAATGGTTGATGCTTAAAATCAAACTTTACTTGGAAATATTAAAAGTTGACAACTGAGGTTAGTTGAAATTTTAATTGTATTGATTCAAACCTTGGAAACCACTGCTTTGCATGTTGCTGTGCCACTAACAAGCATAATGGCATAGTAGGAGTAAGGACGAATTAGGAATCTTAGGACAGAAGAGGCCATCATAAATGGCAAAAAAGTTGGAGGGAATTTGTAAACCTTTCAGTAAACATTTGACATCCTCCCCTCCCGCCCCCCACCCCCAAAGAACCACAGCCAAACATGTCACGGTATAAGTACAGTTTCTTAACATTTTCAGGTATGTTTTCTTTAAGTTACCAAAAGTAATATAACAATTCAAATGGTACAGGTTTTGTTGTAAAGGAAATAGCTTGTTTTTAGAGAGGCACCAACAAAAATTATCTGGGGCCTGAGGAAGTAACTCAGTTCTCGAGCGCATGGCTGGAGTGCACAGTGCCTGGGTTTGATCACTGGTACCAAGTGGCTTTCGAAACATCACTGCATGTGGCCTGGATGGTTCCCAAACATTGGGAAAACCCCCAACCTTGAAAAAGTCTAGTTTTCTCAGAATTACCTTTCATTTGTACAAAACTTTCTATTTTTAAATCTTTCATGTATGTTTGCAATGTTATTTGAGAAAAGTCTTTTGAATTTTCACTTATGGGTGCAGGGAGGTAGCTCCATAGCTGAGTGCATGCTTTGCCTGTTGGGGCACCAAGGTTTGACCTGGCATCACAAGCCTCTCCTGTGCACTTCTGGCATCAGCAACTGACCACTGCTAGGTGTGCCAAACTAATAATGATGAATTTTACCTGCATTTTTTTTTGTCTTTGTTCATGTTAACTTCATATATACTAAGATCAAGTAATAAAATATTGCTATCTCTGTTTTCAAAGTAAAGGAGTTTCTTACTGAGTATTATGGTAGTGGTTTTTCTTCTTCATATGTAAATTGGACCTTCTCTGTGCTTGGGTGTCAATCTGAGGGCAGCATATCTAGTGATGCCCATGAGCCATGTATTAACAAGGATCAACCTGGGGTTCCCACATGTAAAGCATGTGCTCCTGCACAGTGAGCATCTCCTCAGCCTCCTGAATATAAATTTTGTTTGTTTAAGACTGGACCGATAGAACAGCAGGTAAGGCACTTGCCTTGCACTGGTCAACCCAAGTTGATCCCCGGCACCACGTATGGTTCTCCAGTTTCTACTAGAAGTGATCCCTGAGCATAGAGCCAGAAGTAGGTCCTGAGCACCGCTAGGTGTGGCCCAGAGTAATAATAATGATAAATTTTGTTGTAGGTTAAGATATCCGGAAAATGGCAAAACTGTGAGATGATGTAATTTGCCAAAAATATTAAGAGAAACTCAGTTCTGTTTCTAGGCTTTGGGCTTAGAAAGTTTACATCAGATGTATAATGCATTATAAAATCTTATTGATATTTTCTCTTTCTTTTCCAGCTGAACTATCCCAAGCAATAAACAGTGGTACCTTATTATCAAAACCATCCCCACCTTTACCACCCAAGAGAGGCATTCCATCAACCGTGGTGCCCACGTCAGAGTCTGCCCCCGTCCCCCCAAAACCTTCGAGCGATCAGAGAGAAAAGAACACATGTTCCATGGGCTCTGAGTCATCGCTGGTGATCCCGCCTCCCTCGCCGTCCCCTCCGTTGCCTACTCACAGACCTCCAGAGCCCCCGCGATCCCCTCCGCTCCTGGCTAAGACTGTTCAAGCTGGGCCTGAAGTTGAGTTTCCACCTTCCTTAGACATAGCACAAGGGGCTCCCCCGCAGGAAGATCTGAAAAAGGAAGGAACCAAGAGGATTTCGGACCCAAACTCTGGAGAGCCCCACATTCCCGCTCGGCTGCCCCCTCTCCCCCTGCATATCCGAATCCAGCAGGCCCTGACCAGCCCGCTCCCTGTGACGCCTCCCTTGGAGGGCTCGCACCGAGCCCACTCATTGCTTTTCGAGAACAGTGAGAGCTTCTCTGAGGACAGCAGCACCCTGGGCCGGACCAGGTCCCTCCCCGTCACTATTGAGATGCTGAAAGTGTGAGTGCCTTTAAACCTTGACCACTTTTTTCCTCTCCTTGATGCGTCATAATTCCACCTGGAAAAAACATACCTACAAAATGTGTGAAGGAGGGGCTGGAGTGATAGCACAACGGGTAGGGCATTTTCCTCGCACTCGGCCGACCCGGGTTTGATTCCCAGCATCCCATATGGTCCCCTGAGCACCACCAGGAGTAATGCCTGAGTGCATGAGCCAGAAATAAGCTCTGTGCATCACTGAATGTGATCCAAAAAGAAAAAAAAAGTGTGTGTGAAGGAGCCAGGAGAGTAATACAGTGAATAAGCCACTTGCTTTGCAAGTCCTACCCCAGGTTCAATTCCTGGCACCAAACATGGTTCCCCCAGGCCTCCCAGGAGTGACACCTGAACAGAGCCAGGAGTAAGCCCGAAGCACTACCTGATGTGGCCCAAAAACAAAGAGCTTTGGTCTTGGGGTAAGAGAACTTAGGGCTCAAATCCCAACTCCACCACTGATCGATTATATTTGTATAGTTAAAAAAAAAGGCCCTCCCGTTGATCGTCGATTTGCTCGAGTGGGCCCAGTAACGTCTCCATTGGAGACTTTGTTGTTACTGTGTCTGGCATATCGAATACTCTCGGTAGCTTGCCGGGCTCTCCGAGAGGGGCGGAGGAATCGAACTCGGGTCGGCCATGTTGGCCGCTTGTAAGGCGAACGCCCTACCCGCTGTGCTATCGCTCCAGCCCATTTGTATAGTAAATATACTAAATATATTTGCTATGCATTTTCTTATTAATCTACAGCAATAAGCTTAACCTTTTTTTCCCCCTTCAGTCATGTAAAATAAAATAATAACTACCTCATAGGCTTATTGTGGCAATTTTCACAGCATTAGTACTTGGCACATTAGTAGAAGAAGAAAATAAGTCTAGAAAAAGAAAGGCATTCTGAAAGAAAATTCAACATTTCAGCCCCATAGACCAGAATAAATGTTGGCTCGTGTCAGTAACTTTCAAGACATACTGAGATGTCTTGGTAACTAAAAGAATTACAAATGGTCTGGAGTGATAGTGTAGCGGGGAGTGTGCTTACTTGCATGTGATTGACCCAGGTTCCATTCCTGGCACCACATGGGTTCCACTGAGCACTGCCAGAAGTGGAGTGTCCCCTGAGCAACACCAGATCTGACTTACCCCGCCCCACCCCCCCAAAAAAGGAATAATTGTTATAAAGCTTTTGCAGGATCATCCTACTTGTTATTTTGCCCTGACCTTTGTACTTGCTGGTATTATTATTTGGGGTTTGTTTGATTTGGGGGCCACACCCAGCAGTACTGGGGCTTATCCTGGCTCTGCCCTCAAGGGTCAGTCCTGGCAGGCTTGGGGGACCAGATGAGGTCCAGGGATTGAAACCAGGTCAGCTGCATTAAAGGCAAGTGTCCTACCCACTGTTCTATTGCTCTGGTCCCTATTTCATATTTTGGAAAGAGTTTAGGATTTTGAAGTAAACTGTGTCATAATTTTATACCTCCAGTTCTCATGGTAAATGCAATTTATACCTGAATTTGTAGTCAAGTAATAATATGAAGTGAGGAATTAGTTTTTGTCTTTACTTTTATCTTCTCTAGACGATGCCTTCTGCTATTTTTTGTTCTGTAGTTTTGGTGGGTGGGGCTACACTGGGTGGTGCTCAGGGATTTTTCCTGGGTCTCAGCTCTGAAGAGACCGATGGAGGTGCTAGGGGCCCATAAGTGGTGCCAGGGATTCAAAACCAGGGTCAGCTGCATGCAAGGCAAGCAGCTGCCCCCCTGAACTACATCTCCAATCCTGGGTCATAATTTTGTACTTCTCTGTTGTTAAATTTACAGGAAATGAGTTAAATACTTTGACTGACTATATTCCCTGAGCCAGGTTCAGAGTCACGTGTTCTGTAGTCTTACTTAATCAAATGAAAACAAGCTTGATCTTACATGTGAATCATTGAGGCTTTATGTGCCAGAAGGTTGTAGACCTGGGATTTGAACCCAGCAGTCTTTTGGGTTCCCCACCCATTACACACCCAACACTTGTTTTTTTGGTGTGTGTAGGGGGAGGGAGGCCCACACCTGGCACATCCGCAAGATAAGCACCCTCCCTTGCTATACTTTTGCTCTGTCCCTGAACCCAACGCTCTAGTCTTAAAGAGTTAAGCTGCTAAAATTTTCTTAGCAACAAACTAGAAAGACGGTACAGTGAATAAATCCTTTGCCTTACGCACCGCCAACTTGAACTCAATCCCCAGCACTCCATTTGAACCTGCCAGCAGTTATCCCTGAACTCAGAACCAGGAGTAAGCCCTGAGCACTGAGTATGGCCCCCTCCCCTACTGTCCTCCCAAAAAAAATGTCTTCAAAAGATTCTTCAGGTCAGCCTGAGAGAGTACAGAAGGTACAGTCCCTTACCTGCATGAGGCTGACCCTGGTTCTTCATTATTTCCTGAACTCTCAGAGGGGTCACTCCCAGTCACAGAGCCAAGAATAGCCCCCGAGCACTGCTGGATGTGTACCAACAACCCCACCCATGAGATTGTTAAAATTTGGGGAAGGACGTAAAAATTGTTTCAATCAGGGCTGAAGCAATAGGACAGTGGGTAAAGTGTTTGTCTTGTATGTGCTGACCTGCATTTGATCCCCAGAATCGCATACAATCCCCAGAGCACTACCAGGAGTGATTCCTGAGTGCAGAGGCAGGAGTAACCCCTGAGCATTGCCAGGTGTGGCCCAAAAATAAAATAAACAATTTATTTCATTCAAGGGTCCAGAGAGAGTACAAGAGATAGGGTGCTTGCCTTGCATGCAGCTGACCCAGGTTTGATCCCTGGCAACCCTATATGGTCTCCTAAGCACTACCAGGAGTAATTCCTGAGAGTAGAGCCAAAAGTAAGCCCTGAGTATCACAGGGTGTGGCCCAAAAACAAAAGCAAGCAAACAAAAAGCAATTATTTTATCCGAATGTTTCTATATAATGGGGGGGGGGGGTTGGGGGGAATCACCTGGCAGTGCTCAGGACTTATTTTTGGTTCTCTGTTCAGGAATTGAGGGTCAGCAATGTGCAGGGCAAGTGCCCTACCTGTTGTACTGTTGCTCCAGCCCCCAATGTATAGTCAGTTCTTTGTCTTGTAAATTAGTTTTCCTTTATTCTTCTAAAAGGAAAATATGTTTTCATTTGTTAGTCCAGACGATGAAGAAGACTTGGAGCAGATTCACCCATCTGCATTTGAGGAAGATGTGATACCTACCTCATCCTTTCCTAAACTACCACAGTGTCTGCAGGAGGAAGCAGAAGGAAAGGAGAGTGATTCTGATTCAGAAGGTCCCGTTCAATACCGAGATGAAGAGGATGAAGATGAAAGCCCACAAAGTAAGAAAGGGAGGGGAAAAGAAAAGCAAAGGAGAAAAGTATTCTCCACATAAATCTGCTCGCTGCTCTTAGCAAATGTGAATGGACATATGTAGCCTCTCACATCAAGTCATATGGCTGCTTTGATGGTGATAGTGGTGGGGGTGCACTAACTTCATACACCAAAATCATGTGCACTAACACTGTGTAACCACATTACTTCAACTACAATATAAAGTGTGTGTGCGTGTGTGTTTGTGTTTTCACAGTATCTTGGGGCAGAGATGTGGTTCAGTGTTAGAGATTCTAGATTTCATCTCTGGTATCATTTGAGAAAAAAAAAACCAGATCCAGCAAAATTGTACAGTGGGTAGAGCACTTGCTTTGTATGCAGCTAACCCTAAATCTCTGGCACCACATTTGATCCCCAAGCACTGCCAGAAGTGATTCCTGAGCAAGAAGCCAAGAAGAAGTCCCAAGAACTATTGGATATGGAATAAAAATAAACTAATACTTTCACATTGATGGTGTTAAAAATTTTGGAGTAGAAGAAGTTTGGTATTTGGATGATACTGAAATAATAGCAGTGACACTCTTCTTAAGTCATATGAACTTACTATGTTGGTTGCAAAGCAGGGGGGACACTTTTATGTATTTAAATCTATACATAGTGGAATCCTGAGTCTTGAAAATGAAATGCAGGGGCAAGAGTGAAAGTATAGCAGGTAGGCATTTGCCTTACATCTGACCCGGGTTCAGTCCCTGTCATCCCGCATGGTCCCCTGAGCCCACCAGGAGTGATTCCTGAGTGCAGAGCTAGGAGTAACCCCTGAGCATCACCAGTTTGGACCTGAAAAAAAAAAGGAAAAAAAAAAAGTAGAGTGCAGCTTTAACAAAAAGGTATCTTGCGGGGCTGGAGAGATTGTACAGCTGGTATGGCATTGATCTTGCACATAACCAACCCAGGTTTGATCCCCAGTACCCTATATGTTGTTCTCCCAAGCCTTTCCAGAAGTGATCCATGAGCACAGAGCCAGTTGCAATCCCTGAGCACTGCTAGGGATTATTTATTTGCTTATTTTGGGGGCTTGTGTGAGCTCTGTGCTCTGGGATCACTCATGGCAGGGCTATGAGGATCATATGGGATGTGCTGAGGGTTGAACCAAGGTTGGCCACACGCAAGACAAATGCCTTAGTCACTGTGCTATTTCTCAGTCATATTCTTATTTTTTAAAGAAATAGATAAGGCTTAGGGAGAAGACTGTCACTGTCACTGTCTTCCCGTTGTTCATTGATTTGCTCGAGCCGGCCCAGTAGCATCTCCATTGTGACACTTGTTACTGTGTTTGGCATATTGTATACATCATGGGTAGCTTGCCAGGCTTTGCCGCATGGGTGAGATACTCTCGGTAGCTTGCTGGGCTCTTCAAGAGGGGCGGAGGAATCGAACTTGGCTCGACCAGGCTGGCCGCATGCAAGGCAAACGCTCTACCGCTGTGTATCTCTCCAGCCCAGGGAGAAGATAGAGAAGGGAAAAGGAAAGAAGGAAGGGAGGGAGGGAGAGAGGGAAGGAGGACTAAGTTATGGTGGTGGGCTCAGGGGACCATACCAGATGCCTGGAATCAAACATGGGTCTGCCACGTGCAAGGCATGTACCTTACCCACTGAACTGTCTCTCCAGTCCAGGAGGAAGAATTTTATCAGGTGTGTTCATCAAAGACTTTCGCTTACATTATCTCCCCTTTACTGCCCTTCCTAAGGAGAATACAGACTGATAATAAGGAGCAAAGATCTCTCAACCAATTTAGTTCATCTCACTGAAACAATTTTAGCAGTCTTCACTTTACCCCACCTCTGTGTTAACTGGATCTGTGAGTCCAAGTCGCAAGCTGGAAATTCAGACATTTGTTCAGACTTGCCAGGTTCTACTTAAGATTGAGTCTTTGGCTTCAAGCCTTGAGTTTCTACATTGTTTCCTTTCTCTTCTATAAAGGTGCTCTGGCCAACAAAGTGAAGAGGAAAGACACGCTGGCAATGAAGTTGAACCACAGACCCAGTGATCCAGAGTTGAACGTGAATTCCTGGCCTCGAAAGAGCAAAGAGGAGTGGAATGAAATACGGCACCAGATTGGAAACACGCTAATTCGGTAAGTTTTAGCTCAGAAAAGACTGATTTGGCTATATCATACTGCACGTACTAGAAGCCGTCATAAGTGGTCGAATTTACCTTTTTTTAAAAAAATTTTTTGTTATTTATTTACTTATTTTTGGGGGCCACACAGAGCTGTGGTGAGGGCATACTCCTGGCTCTGTGCTCTGGGATCACTCCTGGCAGGGCTAAGAGGATCATATGGGATGTGCTGAGGGTTGAACCAAGGTTGGCCACATGCAAGACAAGTATCTTAGTCACTGTGCTGTCTCTCAGCCATATTCTTTTTTTTTTTTTTGCGGGGGGGTGGGGGGGTCATACCCAGCGATGCACAGAGGTTATTCCTGGCTCATGCACTCAGAAATTACTCCTGGCAGTGTTCATGGGAACATATAGGATGCTGGGAATCAAACCCTGGTCGGCTGCATGCAAGGCAATTGCCCTACCCACTGTGCTATTGCTCCAGCCCCATATTCTTATTTTTTAAAGAAATAAATAAGGATTAGGAAGGAGATGGACAGAGAAGGGAAAAAAATCAAGGACGGAAAGAAGAAAAAGGGAAGTAGTGGCCAGAGCAGGTACAGCAGGTAGGGTACTTGCCTTGCACACAGCCGACCCAGGTTTTATCCCCGTCATCCCATATTTTCCCCCTAGCATCAGCAGAAGTGATCCCTGAGTGCAGAGCCAGGAATAACCCCTGAGCATTGTCAGGTGTGGCTCAAAAACCAGAAAAAAATTTTTTTAAGGAAAGGGAAGTAATGACAGGTCAGGGGCATCAGTTAATACCAGTGATGTGGGAGAGTAGTATAGCGATGTATCCAAAGAATAGATTCAACAACACTGAAATCTAAACTGCAACCACAGAACTTTGAAACATGCCTGTGAAGAGGGAATTTGGGGAGTTGGGGTGGGGCAGGAGAGAGCACAGAAACACTGGGAGAGGGAATCTGACACTGGTGGTATAATTGGTGTCGAACTGTATGCCTGAAATCGAACCATCAATAACTTCATAAATCACGTTCCTTAATTATTTTTTTAATTAAATAAATCTGGGATAAGAGAGTACCACAGGTAAAGCATTTATTTCACTCATGACCAAGCCAGGTTTGATTCCTCGGCACCACATATGGGAACATTTCCTGAGCACCACCAGAACCCCCTCACTGCACCCTAAGAATACAGGGCTGAGGATTGGCTCAACTCAGAGAACATGCTCTCCACTCCTGAGCCCTGGGTCTTAGCCTGGCTCAAAAAGAAAAGTAAAATGAGATAGGCACAAATTTCGCTGGGGAGAGTTTGATTTGGGGCCATACCTAATGGTTTTCAGGGGCTTCTCCTGGCTCAGTGCTCAGAAATCATTCCCAGCTGGGCTTAGGAGAAATTGCATGCTGGGAGTCAGAGCAGGGGCTCCAGCCCTTTGCACGGTGTCCCTATATAAGGACTGTGTGTTTCTTTAAGTTTCTAGAGAAGTTAGGGAGTTCCTAGGACAGCAAGATCCCTGTGTCATTTATCCCATTACCGACCTAGTTAAGCACCACGCCCTTCATTTCATTAGGTCTTTTTCACACGTTCCATATAAACTGCCTCTTTTCAATGTTGTCATATATTTTTCAGGGTCATTGGAATCAAAAGATAGAGAAATTCAATGCAGGCCGGCTCCCTGCCTCTGTAGTACATGTAGAAGATAGGTGTATAAAAACAAGTATTTGTCCATCTTAGATGTTTCTCTTGGTAGAGTGAGGAAAAAGAGGTATAACTTTTGGCATAAACGTAAGAAAATCACTGAGGACCAGACAGCTAATTGAGAGGTTAAGGCACTTTCCTTGCACTGTACTATCCCTGCCAACCCTGATCTGATCCCCCAGACTGCCTATGGCTCCCTGAGCACTGCCAGGTATGACCCAGAACTCACCCCACCCCCAAGATTTTTCTAACTGAGGATGTCTTCTTTTTTGTTGCTGTTTTTTCTGTTTGTTTTGGAGACCTCACCCAGCAGTACTGAGAGGTCATGTAGCGACAGTAATGGAAGTCTGGGCTTCCACATGCAAAGCCTGAATTCAAGCCAACGTGGCTTGGAAGCAAGGGGAGGCACAAACCTGGCAGTGTTCAGTTTGCCCTGCCATTTGAAGCATGTCCATAGCCCTGGATGGGCAGCTTTACAGTAGTGATATGTAATAGCATAAACTTTTAAATACCTACAGATTTTATATACTTTTAAATACTTACGGATAGGAGGCTGGAGAGATAGTACAGTAGTTGAGGCATTTGCCTTGCATGTGACCTGCCTTGCAGGTTCAATCCCTCATACCCCATATGGTCCCCTGAGCACTGCCAGGAGAGGCAGGAGTGATGCCCGATTGTTGCCAGGTATGACCCAAAAACTTAAAAAATAAATAAATTTAAAAAGTAAGTACTTACGGATGAATTTGACAAAGTAATGTATAAGATAACCATAACCATGAAATAATGACTACAGAGAAAGAGAACCCATTAAGGGGAGAAACAGTAGTACAACAGGTAGGGCATGTGCCTTGCAGATGGCCAACCTGGGCTCAATCCCTTGTATCCCATATAGTCCCCTTCTCACAGCCAAGAGTAAATCCTGATTGCAGAGCCAAGAGTAACTCCTGAGTATCACCAGGAGTTACTCCTGAGTATCCCCATGGTATATTCGATATGCCAAAAACAGTAACAACAAGTCTCACAATGGAGACATTACTGGTGCCCACTCAGCAAATCAATGAACTACAGGAGGACAGTGCTACAGTGAACCATACCTGGAAGTGCTCAGGGCTTCCTCTTGCCTCTGCACTCAGGGATAAGTGGTGCTGGGGATGGAACCCAGGTCGGCCATGTGCAAGGCAAGTGCCTCCTCACTGGACTATCTCTCCAGCCCTAGTGCACCCACTTTTTGCTAAGAAATAATGAGTTTGATTTCCAGCACCCCATATGCTGAGCACAATCCAGGCAGCAGTGCCATTTGTGAATGCCAGCACAAGTATATCATCGCTGGCCTATCACTAATCAAGTATGTGTAAGCACCACAACTGTAGCACCGTCCTCCCATTGTTCATCAATTTGCTTGAGTGGGCACCAGTAACGTCTCCATTGTGAGACTTGTTACTGTTTTTGGCATATCGAATACATCACAGGGAGCTTGCCAGGCTCTGCTGTGCAGGCGGGATACTCTCAGTAGCTTGCTGGGCTCTCCTAGAGGGACGGAGAAATCGAACCCAGGTCGACCGTGTGCAAGGCAAACGCCCTACCCACTGTGCTATAGCTCCAGTCCACAACTAAAGCAATGAAATAGCGAAACAGTTTGAATTTTTGTTGATTCCTTGCTAGTATAGGGGCTAAAATAAGGACCCCCCAAAAAAAAAGAAATTTTAATGTGCAGAATTGGGAGATCTAACATAGACAATCTTCTTATTTATCTCCTTTTCAGACGACTGAGTCAGAGACCAACCCCAGAAGAACTGGAACAACGAAATATACTACAACGTGAGTCTGTCTACGGAGAAAAGTTGTTTAGATTTTCTTTGCTTATTTCTGACTTTAACATACACAATTGAGAGGAGGAGTATTTTCTGCAAGGACCAAGAGGAAGTATTCTAACCACGGACAATTTTTTCTTAGCTCTTAATAAAGGATTAGATTTTCCTCCATAATTCGTAACAAAATCATGTTTTGGGTGCTAGGAATGTGACTCAGTGGCAGAGTATTTGCCTTGCATGTGTGAAACCGAGTTTATTCCTCAATACCTTAAAATAAAAATTGAAAAATCCCAGTGCTGGGAATTAAATCCAGGTCTCATGCAGGCCTGGCATGCACTTTAACCTGTGCCTTTCCCCAGGCTACTCCAGAAATTACCTTGGGCGATTGCAGGGATTTGATAGTAGCTGGTAGACGTGGGTCAACTTTTTTATTTTAAGGGAAGTGTAAGACAGAGTCTGTGCATAGTGCGGACCTGCCTATCCTGGTGGAATCCGAGGCTGGCACTCAGCGGAGTCCCAGGGTTCTCCTCACTTTTTCATTGCTTATGTTTTGTACCTTAAAACTCACAAAGTAAGAGCCTGTATTTAACTTGCCTTCTATCTTAATAGTAAGTTTTCTGAAATAGTATTTTAATCTAGTATAGATTTGTTTTTTTCAAATTAAGGGTAAAATTTGATCTTATGGACCTGCTGGGGCCAGGGAGATGGTTTAAAGAACAAGTTTGCATGCTCTGCATTCAGGAAACCCAAGATCTATCCCCTATTGTGGAGTATGGTGATGGGCACTGGAGCAGATAAGACCGACCTTGCAGAGTGACCCAGAGGTGAAGCCTTGCAAGAGGGAGTACCTGGGCACAGTTGGCAGGAACAAGGTGTTAGCCAGCACCAGGTGTTCAGCCTTGAGCCTCACTCAACCTCCTAGTCACATGAGCCCAAAACACAAACTGTCATGTATGCTTAGCAAGTCATCCTGACTGCAGCATCTAGCCTTGATTGGGATTTGATTGGGGCAAAGCAGAGTTGGAAAGGTGATGGGCCAGTAATGCTAAACTTTCCATGATTGGACCTTTCTGTAAGCCAAGACCCTCTATAAAATATGTATGTATTTGGCAGTGAGGTGAACAGCCATCAGCTTCTCCCAGAGGGTTTCTCTGTACACCCATCATCCTTCGCCCCACATCTGCCTGGACCCGATGCACAACATGTCTGGGCACGTTGGGGGAAAACTGTTCTGTCCTGTCCCACATGGATCCCAGAGAAACATGCCAGGAGTAGGCCCTGAGCACCTCCAGCTGTGGCAAAAAGGAGAAAGTTAAGAGAGATGGCTTAGTAGGTTAACACCATATTTTGGGGTACTGAGAATAGTACAGCAGGTAAGGCTCTTGGCTTACATGAGGTCAACATGGTTTCCATTCCCAGCCTCACATATGGTCCCTTGAGCACTGCCTGGGAAGCCACAAAAAATTAAGTAAAGCCTTACTTTGCCTGCAGGAGACCCAGGGTTGCTCTCCATGTGATCATGGTCCCCTGAGCACTGCTGGATGTCGCCCTCAAATCAAAACATAAATATAAAAGCTTCCACACCAAAGAGGACTAGGTCAAGTTTTATGGGGTTACTGGGAGGCATCCTCGTTTTGGCCAGTTGTCCCTCATTCTACCATCACTACTTAGATAGATTGGAGAGTACAGGCATGTGCAAGGCAAACGCCTATCACTCTGACCCCCCTATTTTTCTTAAGGTCTTTACCACCTTGGATTTAGATTTTGGATGGAGTCCCATGGACATCAGGGGACAACTATATATAACCAACTTAATCACTTAGTAAACTCTAAAGTGTGGGAAATTTTGACCAGAGTGTTGAGCCTAGTTCAGGGCTGCTTCCCTGTTCTCGTAATTAAACTTTGGGACATTAAGAAATGAGCTGGGGAAGTTGACTGGGTGGAAGGTATTTCTTTATTCAATTTCTCCTAGCCTACAAATAAATAAATAAAACGTGGAAGATTTTATAGACTAATCACACGAAATTTAGCGCAGTCTTTTGTTTTAAACATTTATACTTTAATCATATACTTCTAAAATGATTATTCAAATACGTATTAAATATGTTAAGTACATATATGTATGCATTCTGCTGTACTTTATAAATTCCTAGATGATGGATTCTGATAAAATTTAGAGATTAATGACGTATACAATTCAAATATATTTATTAGGAGGCCCAATACAGCCGGTAGGACATTTGCCTTGCATGAGGCCAACCTGAGTTCAATCCCTGGCATCCCATATGCTCCCCCACGTACCACCAGAAGTAATTTGTGTGTGCTTCTCCACCAAAAAAAAAAAAAAAAATGTTTGCTAGCTCTTAGAAATTCAACAATGCATAGACAAACTCTGCTCTTCAGTATTTGATTGCTCCAGTGGGGCAGAAAATTGTCTTTGGGCTAGGATGTGCCTCAATGATGGAGCATTTTTCTTGTATATGAGCCATCCTGACTTTGATTATTTTTTTTAGTTTATTTTTTTATTGAGTAACCATGAGATACAGTTACGAAATTGTTTATGATCGGATTTCAGTCATACAGTATTCCAACACCTGTCCCTTTACCAGTATACATTTCCCACCACCAGTGTCCTCAGTTTCCTCCCACCAGTCCCCCGCCAAACTTGATTAGCCATCCCCAAGTTTGTATTTTATTCTGACTTAGGGTCTATTAGGAACAACTGCAGTGTAATTACCAGCCTGCCTCTGTGGCAGACACTTCTCTTTCTTTCTCTCTCGTTCGTTGAGTGCTCTCGCTCTTTCTTGCTTTCCCCACCCCACCCCCACTTGGGGCATCATGGTTTGCAATACAGATACTGAAAGGTTATCATATATTTCCCTTTACGTCTCCCTTTACCTCCTTTCAGTACTTAAATCTTGTCCAAAGTGATCATTTCCAACTATCATTGTCATAGTGGTCTCTTCTTTGTCCTAACTGCCCTCTCCCCCTACCTCCCACCCACTTGTGGCAAGCTTCCAAGCATGGACCATTCCTCCTGGCCCTTAGTCCAAACCTTTAAAAAAAAAATTATTCTTAGTCATTCTTTGAGTCCTTCATCAAGGACATGCTTGAGAACATGTAATAGATATTTTCTCTTTTCTTTTTTGGCCTTTTGGCTCACACCTGGTGATGCTCAGGGGTTACTCCCAGCTTTGCACTCAGGAATTACTCCTCACAATGCTTGGAATAATGGCGAACCATATGGGATGGCAGAAATCGAACCCAGGTCAGCACATGCAAGGCAAACGTCCTACCTGCTATACTATGACTCTGGTCCCCACAGTAGATATTTCCAACTGCAGGCCAAAAAGCAAAGGGAAACTACTAACTATGGACATTCAGATTATAACCATTAAAATGGATAAAGAACATTCTTCACTCTCGGGCAGTATATATACAGGCAGCTCGCCAGACTTAATACCAGTTTACAGATCCTTGCTCTTCAGTATTCGATTGCCCCAGTTGGCAAGAAAATTGTCGGCAAGCCGGGATGTGTCTCGGTGATGGAGCACTTTCCTTGTATATGTGCTGTTCTGACTTCGATCCTCAGCACTGCTAGAAGAAGGGAAAAAATCATCTTGATTAGCCATCCCCAAAGTTTGTATTTTATTCTGACTTAGGGTCTATTAGGAACAACTGCAGTGTAATTACCAGAAGATTTGATATGCAGTTTACTATTTTGAAATAATAAAATAATCTTTTTTTCTGTCAATTGTAGCTAAAAACGAGGCTGATCGTCAGGCAGAAAAGCGAGAGATTAAACGCCGGCTCACCAGAAAGGTAAGCTATCCGATTATTTGGTTTCTTTGTGATTGCTGCCTCTCACATGTGAGTGACCTGTTTGATTCCTGTTTGATTTCCTAATGAAGAGAAGTGAATTTTAGGGTCAGTAATGTGCCTGCGAGTGTTGGAGCATGTGCTGGGTATGTTTGAGGTCTCCAGATCAATCCCTGTACAGCATAGGGTCCCGAGCACTACAGTCCTCGGGGCATGTAGCCCCCGCCATTACCAGTCACATACTACTCAGAGTTGCCTCCTGGACCACTCTCCTCAGCACTGTCGGTTATGACCCCTATTTAAAAATTAAATCTAAAGGGACTGGAGTGATGGCACAGTGGGGAGGGCGTTTGTCTTGCATGCGGCCAACCTGGGTTCAATCCCCGGCATCCCATATCATCCCCCAAGCACCTCCAGGAGTAATTCCTGAGTGCAGAGCCTGGAGTAACCCCTGAGCATCACTGGGTGTGACCCAGAAAAGCAAAAATAAATAATTTTTGAAAATAAATTTTAAAAGAATCATAAAAAATAAAAATTGAATCTAAAGGGGCCAGAGTGGGATAGCACAATGGGGAGGGCGTTCGATCCACAGAATCCCATATGGTTCACCCATGCACTGCCAGGAGTAATTCCTGAGTGCAGAGCCAGGAGTAACGCCTTAGCACTGCTGGGTGTAATCCAAAAAGTTAAAAAAAAAAAAATTTAAATCTAGGGCCAGAAAAATTGTAAAGTGGGTAAGGCCTTTGCTTCACATGCAGTCAACCCAGCTTCAATCCCTGGCACCTCATATGGTCCCCTGAGCATCACCAGGTGTGGCCCAAAAAACTAATAATGTTTTTAAATTAAATTTTGACACTGGAAACATAGTACAGCAGGTAAGACATTTGCCTTACACATGGCTGGTAGATCCCAAGCACCCCATAGAACACCCTACCTGCTGTACTATTGCTCTGGCCCCTCTCATAGGCTGTTTCATTAATAAATAAGATTTCTATAACTGAAACTCAAGCACAAAAATTTGTAAGTCTACAGCTGTACCTCATGGTGTTTCACTAATAAAAATTAATAAATAAGATTTAGGGGCCAGAGTGATAGGACAGTGGGTAGGGCATTTGCCTAGCATGCGGTCAACCTGGATTCAATTCCCAGCATCCCATATGGTCCCCTGAGCACTGCCATGAGTAATTCCTGAGTACAGGGACAGGAGTAACCCCTGTGCATCTCCAGGTGTGACCCCAAAAGTTCCTCCCACCCCCAAAGAAAAAAGATTTAGTGTTGGAGCTATAATACAGCAGGTAGAGTATTTGCCTTGCATGTGGCTAATCTGGATTCAATCCTGAGCATTGCCAGAGATGTCCCAAAACAAAAAGCAGTGATCCTCTATATTCCCAGAAAGTGATGGTATGATCTGAAGCTGAGTGAGTATGTGTTGGATATTAACCCTAAGTGTTTTAGGCTTCATCAGTTAATTACCCCTTTTCCTCTCAGAGAAGCTTACCATGCTCTTGGTAGCATCCCTAATGTCGTTAAAGTTCATCTGTAACCTTTTCTCTTTGTTTCACCTCTCATTGTCTCAGTTTCCCAAATCAGTCTTGATTATTTATCAGCCAAAACTTTCTGGTAATTCTGGACTTTGTATTTGTAGTGATTTGTATTTGAAATGCTATGTATTTGTACCTGTTTTTCTATTTCCCTATAACCTTTTTATATTTTACTATAAAGCAGTGTTCTTTGGTTAAACACAGAAAGACCATTAATGCTATGCGCCTAATATTTGGGAGTTGATAACTCTGAAATATATCTACTCCTGGGCATTAATCATAATTACTTGACTCAGGCTTCAGTTGCTATAGTTTCTAACACCCCAAAAGGGAGGTCCCTCCATGGGACTGGGATGGACCCAGGGCGAATGGCAAAGCTATCCCGGCATCAAAATGGGACAATCTAGAAAGTATAAATGCATGGTCTTGATGCAAGCTGTTACGACTTAAAAGACAGGACTCCCTTGGGAAAGGACAAGCTGAACTGGCCTGAGGAGACATAGCCTGGGATTTACGATAAAAGCCTTGCTTGCTCTCAGAACCCAGAAAACTAAGTTTTGAGGTCTTTTTCTTTTACTGTGTTTATCCAAACAACTGCAAGTACTGATAAAGAAGTAAACTTAATTGTTAACATTTACTAGAGGGAAAGACAGAAGCAATGAAGATGTCCCTGGGAGACAATGTCTCCTTGAGTTAATTTCCCCAAGAGAGTTTCCTCCACCAAATGTTTTGTGTTAATCTCCCCAAGAAAATTTCCTCTTCAAAATGTTTTATCTCTCTAAATGATCAGTCACACCTAGATCCTGTACCTCAACCCTCCCCCCCCCCCAGATGTTTTATGAATATACTAACAGCTCTGCATTAAACAGGCCATTTTCACCATCAGTCTGTGGTCCCCTGTCTCTTTGTCTCTCTGCTGGAGAGGCCTGGGGAGAACAGGAAGCAGCTCTCACCAACTGTAGCACACACATTATTTTGTGAACTCACAAGTATGGAAGTCAGACTACAGAAAAGATTGTATTGCGGCTTGAATGCATTGACCCCAAATGCAAATTTAAGAGAATACTGACCATTAAGATGCAGCATCATGAACTGAGAGGAGATAAAGATAAAGACCAAGTGATCCAGTTCTAAGCATCATCTTTAATTATGAAGCAGTGAAATCTGGGGTTATTGTTAAAATTGGATTACAGGGCCAGAGCAATAATATAGTGAGTAAGGTCATAGTACAAAGAGTAACCTTGCATGTAGCCTACCCAGGTTCGAACACAGCACCACACATCATCCCCCAAGCCCCACCAAAAATGATTCCTGAGTGCAGAGCCAGTAGTAACCCCAGAGCACCACCAAATAAAGCCCAAATACAAAACCAGTGAAAAAGGGTGGCAGTGTGACTTCAAGCCTCAGGGTTGGTCTCCTGCAACATCTGCCTTCCCAAGTACCTCCAGATATGATCCCACAATAGTGATAAACTCCTAATTCCCAGAATTTCTGGGACTAGACTCGGCTCAGTAGTGGATAAATGTCCTCAAGATGAGTCCACGGGCAGTGAAATTTGAAACTGAATTAGATGCAATTTTAAATGCATGAGTGATTCAATTAATTACTGAATTCCGGGCAGTATGAACTAAGAGCTTCATTTCTTTCAGCTCAGCCAAAGACCAACAGTGGCGGAACTGCTTGCCAGGAAGATTCTGAGGTTTAATGAATATGTGGAAGTGACGGATGCTCAAGACTACGACCGGCGGGCTGACAAACCTTGGACTAAACTGACCCCTGCTGACAAGGTCTCTCAATAGATAAATGTGCATTTTATATAGATAAAGATATGTCTGTCTCTTTGTCCATCTTTATTTGAAGAATATAAGATATGTCAAGGACATTCCATAAACCATAAATTAAAAATTGTCATTTTTGATAGTGTTAAAAATACCAGGTTGAAGAGGTAGTACTGTGAACAAGGCACTTGCACTGCATGTGGGTGACCGAGTTTGATCACCAGCACCACATACCATCCCCTAAGCACCACCAAGAGTGGTCCCTGAGCACAGAGCAGGGAGTATGCCCTAAGCACAACTGGGTATGCCCCAAAATTTGGAGGTGGGGAGAATACAGAACCCCTGCTACATCACAGAAAATTATAAAGCTGCTTTTTTTTTTTTTTTGCTTTTGGTTTTGGGGGCCACCCTCAGGAACGGTCAGGGCTTACTACTGGCTCTGCACTCAGGAATCACTCTTGCTGGTACTCAAGAGGCCATATGAGATGCTGGGGATTAAACCCAGGCCCGCCATATGCAGGGCAAGTGCCCTACCCTCTGTGTTATCACTCCAGCCACAATAAAGCACATTTTAAAACATAGTTATGTTTACAGGGGCTGGAGCGATAGCACAGCAGGTAGGGCATTTGCCTTGCACGTGGCCAACCCAGGTTCGATCCCATATGGTTCCCCAAGCACCACTAGGAGTAATTCCTGAGTGCAAAGCCAGGAGTAACCCCTGTGCATCACTGGATGTGACACAAAAAGCAAAAAATAAATAAAACATAGTTATGTTTGCAACATTTGTGTAGTATATTTTAGTAATTACCCATATTTCACCTCTTTTAGGGGAGGGCGGGCCACACCCAGAGGTGCTCAGGACTTACTTCTGGCTCTGCACTCTTGATAGTGCTCTGGGAACCATATGGAATGCCATGGAAACTTGAGTCAGCTGCATGTGAGATAAGAAACGTACCCATTATTGGGGCCAGAGTGATAGTACAGCGAGTAGGGTGTTTGCCTTGCATGTGGCTGACCTGGCTTTGATCCCCAGCATCACATATGGTCCCCCAAGCACAGCCAGTAGTAATTCCTGAGTGCAGAGCCAGAAGTAAACCCTGAGCATCACCAGGTATGACCTCAAAATAAACAAAAAAAATAGCCCAAACACAAAAAAGAAACTTACCCACTATACTGTCTCTCCAGCCCCTAATATTTCACCTTTTAATATCGGGAAAAACTCGAGTGCCAAGTATGAAATCTATAAAATCTCTTTTCTGTTATTCAAGTTTGTTGTTGTTGTTGTTGTTGTTGTTGTTTGGGGGGGGGGTTGTTTTATTTTGAGCTTCACCCAGAGATGCTCAGGGTATTCTCCTGGCTCCGTGCTCATGGACCATATGGGGTGCCAGGGAGTATACCCAGGTCGGCTACATGCAAAGCAAGTGGTGTCCTGCCCACTGTACTATTGCTCGGGCCCTATTCAAGGGTTTTGATTTGCTGGAGGCCAAGGTTCCCTTAGGCATGAATGGTATCAGAGGGGTGATGTCTGTCAAGCTGGGGTGCTGCCACAGATTGCAGCCCCTCACACAGTTAAACTCAGTTGAGAACAGAGGGCAAATCACTGCTCTGCAATAACAGATGCTGAAGCATTTTTGTTTCTACCCCACAGGCTGCCATAAGAAAAGAATTGAATGAGTTTAAAAGCTCAGAGATGGAAGTTCATGAGGACAGCAAACATTTTACACGGTAAGACAAGACCCAGCTAAGTGGAGCTCTAGCAAAACGCAAGAGTACCAGAGGGACACTGATGGGAAAAGCAGGACTCAGTGCTGACTGCAGCAAGACTAGATTACTAGATGATTTAGCCTGTACTAAATATAGTTTTATAATTTAATCCTGTTATAATCACTGGGGTATGTTAATATCCCCCTTTTCTTTTTCTTTTTCTTTTATTTATTTGGGGTTGGAGCGATAGCACAGTGGTAGGGTGTTTGCCTTACAAGCGGCCAACATGGCCGACCCGAGTTCGATTCCTCCACCCCTCTCGGAGAGCCTGACAAGCTACCAAGAGTATCTCGCCCGCACGGCAAAACCTGGCAAGCTACCCGTGACGTATTCGATATGCCAAACACAGTAACAACAAGTCTCATGATGAAGACGTTACTGGGCCCACTTGAGCAAATCGATGAACAACGGGAGGAACATGATACCGTGATTTATTTGGCTTTTTGGGTCATACTCAGGGTTATTCATGATTCTGTACTCAGGAATTACTTCTGGTGGTGCTTGGTGGACCATATGTGATGCTGGGGATCGAACCCAGGTTGGCCATGTGCCGGGCAAATGCCCTCCCTGCTGTCCAATTGCTCTCGCCCCAGTGTCCTTTTTTTTTCATTTTTCTTTTTGGGTCACACCTGGCAATGCTCAGGGTTACTCCTGGCAGTGCTGGGGGGACCATATGGGATGCTAGGAATCAAACCCGGATCGGTCGTGTACACGGCAAATGCCCTATTTGTTGTACTATCTCTCCAGCCCCCCTTGACATATTTTGATTTAGTGTTGATGGTGTGATCAAGAAAACCTACTCAGTACTGAGCCAGAAAGATGATACAGCAGGTAGGGAACTTGCCTTACATGCAGTTGGCTCAGGTTTAATCTCCAGCACCCTGCATGATTCCCCGAGCACCACCAGGAGTGATTCCTGAGCACAGAGTCACTCTGTGGTTTAATTCCTCGGCACCAAAATAAAAAAAAAAAAGTGACAAAAGTATCTGCATTAGTAATATGGCTGTTTTGGATCATCTTTTATAACTGCCATCATTTTTTTTTAATTATTTGTTTGTTTGTTTTTTGGGTCATGCCCAGCGATGCTCAGGGGTTACTCCTGGCTCTGCACTCAGGAATTACTCCTGGCGGTGCTTGGGGGACCATATGGAATGCCAGGGATTGAACCCATGTCGGCCGCATACAAGGCAAACGCCCTACCTGCTGTACTGTTGCTCCAGCCCCCACTGCCACCATTCTTGATGCTGCGGTCTGAATGAGTAACCCCCAAGCATTACTGAGTATGGCCCCAAAAACAACAAAAACAAAAAATAATAATAACAACTCACCTATTACTTTAGGATCAGCTAGCGACAAATGGAATCAGTGAAAGTATCTAAGTGAATCTCAGAACACTTCTGAAAAGGCTTAATGTAGAACCAGAGAGAGAGTACTGAGATCAGGCGCCGTGCCTTGTACCTGGTCAGCCCAGATGCAGTCTTCAGTTCCACATGATACCCCAAGCACTATGCCAGGAATAGCCTCCAAAAACTGCCAGGTGTGGCTTCAAAACTTACACGTATGTGCATACATATATAAATATGTACAGACATGTAAGTAAAGGAGCGGAGCGATAACACAGCGGTAGGACATTTGCCTTGCAAGAGGCTGGCCCGGCCGAGCCGGATTCAATTCCTCCACCCCTCTCAGAGAGCCCAGCAAGCTACTGAGAGTATCTCGCCCGCACAGCAAAGCCTGGCAAGCTACCCATGACATATTCCATAGGCCAAACACAGTAACAACAAGTCTCACAATGGAGACGTTACTGGGCCCGCTCGAGCAAATCGATGAACAATGGGAGGACAGTGCTACAGTGCAGTGCTATGTAAGTAAAGAGGTGGACAGAAAAAATTCGTCCAGGAAAACAGACTGAGAAAAGCAATTAAGAAAGAAGGAGAACTATGGAATAGATACTGTTATGGAAACAAAGGGGTTTCTTTAAGAAGGAAGGGAGGGGCCAAGGGGATAGCTCAAAGGGCTAGTGTCCATTCTTTACATGCAAGAACTGCAGGGCCTCCTGAGCAGTGCTGGGAGTGATCATTGCACACTTCTGGATGTGCAAAAGAACCAAATATTAAAGATGGAGAAAGGAGAGTCAGGAGCATCAGATGCTATAAGAAACTCAAGTAGGACTGGAGAGATACAACAGCAGGTAAGGGCACTTGCCTTGCACACCGGCAACTTGACTTTGATCCCTGGCACCATATGTCCCTCAACTCCCCCTCAGGAATTATACCTGAACACAAAGCCAGGAGTAAGCTCTGAACACTGTCACTGCCACTATCCTCCTGTTGTTCATCAGCTTGCTCGAGCAGGCCCAGTAACGTCTCCATTGTGACACTAGTTACTGTGTTTGGCATATTGAATACATCACAGGTAGCTTGCCAGGCTTTGCCCCACAGGTGAGATACTTTCGGTACCTTACCAGGCTCTCCGAGAGAGGCGGAAAAATCAAACCTGGGTCATACAAGTTGGCCACATGCAAGGCAAACGCCCTACCCACTGTGCTATCGCTCCAGCACCACTGGGTATGGCAAAAAAAAAACAAGAAAAGGAAAGAGCAGGACTGCAAGGTCTTTGTGAACTCGTACCATGGCATGCCAGGGCCAGAAAGTGCAGAAGGTGATGGTGCAGCCCATCAACCTCATCTTCAGATACTTACAAAATAGATCTCGGATTCAGTTGTGGCTTTATGAGCAAGTGAATATGCGGATAGAGGGCTGCTTCATTGGCTTTGATGAGTATATAAACCTCGTGTTAGATGATGCAGAAGAGATTCACTCAGAAACAAAGTCAAGGAAACAGCTGGATTGGATCATGCTAAAAGGAGATAATATTACTCTGCTCTAGAGTATCTCCAACTAGAAACCATGGGTGAAGTGAGAAATCGCTGAGAAGATGCTGCAGTTTATTTTTTAGCTGTTTCTTTGGGGAAAGTAGTTTTAAAACATTTATTTTATTTGGATCATCATTATGTTAATACCAATGACAATAAATGGTGGGGGATTGTTTCTATTTGAAAATAAAAGGAAAGAAAGTCAGGTAGATTTAGAGCAGACCTGGGGGCCAAGGATGTAACTTCGTGGTAAGAGCACATGCCTTGAATGTGTAACACCATGAGTTTAGTCTCTGATACCACACACATGAATAATCAGGGGCTGGAGAACTAGCAATGCGGACTTGCCAACAGTCCAGGTTTGATTTCTAGTACCACATACATGGTCCCCTGAGTACTACCAGAAGTTGCCCCTGAGCACTGCTAGGTGTTACCAAAACAAAGCAAAAAGGTCATTAGAGTGAAGAAGATGTGATTGTTCTTTGTTGTTTTATTATTATTTTTTTTTAATTAAAATGTAACATTTCTGTGGCTGGGCTCTAGGTCAGGTGTCTGGACACTTATGACAATGCAGTCCCTTTAGCACCTCTGAGTGGCCCAAAAGACAAAAACAAAGAAAGAACACAGTGTTATTAGAAATAATATGGTGAAGTGTAAAGCAGGCCAGGGATGTTGCTCAGTGGCAGAACACATGCCTTGCATGTGTGATGAGGCCCTTGGGATAATTCCCCAGGCATCCCCCCCCACAAAAAAAATAAAAATAATAATAATAATGTAAATGACAAAGTGCAAAGTGATCTGAATATTAGTAACGTGGATGTTTCTGGTTATTCATCTTTTTTAGCTACCATCGTCCTTGATGCTGCAGCTGAGCGTGGAACTGAGCGGCCCCCTGCCCCTAGCAGTGCCACTCGCTGCTTTAGGATGACATGGAGAGAACATCAGCGCTTTGGGGCACAGACAGAATTGAGTCCCGGGGGTGGGGTTCTGGGGTGAACAGTACTTCTCTGAATGTAGCGTTTCACTGGAATGGATTCTCACATGCTGCCTTGGCCAGACCTAACCCTTTGTCAGCGCTTCCGAACCTTTTCACTTCGGAAGGCTCTTCCCCCAGCAGCCACCAAAATCCCGGGCCCCCTGCGGTTCCGAGTTTTCCAGGCTATCCCACTCCGTCCTTCCAAGATGCCCACCAGCACTGAGGCAGGGTCCCTGCTAGCCTCACCTGCCCTGAGTAGCAAGGAGCAACCCAGTTGGCGACGCAGGGATCCCCCCAACACCAGCGCCTTCATGCCACGCTGGCAAACACCACTTGAAGCACTGCACTGTACCTCAGGCATAGCAGTCCTGCCCGCTCAGGTCCCCTCAAAGCGCGCTCAGGGCTGACAGCCTCTTCCTTTTGGGCACAAGTCATCTGGGTTTTGTTTTTCTGTTATAATGAAAATGATCTTGAAATGATGGGAATTTCAGTTTTTCCTCTAATCAACATGCTGGTTGACAGCCAGCCTGTGATAACGCACAAATGCTTGCTTTGTACAGAACAAAACCAAACCCAGAAAGACCTCTATGTTAATGCCAGCTTGCCAAGAAACTGGCTCACAGCTTGAATTTTACAGGCTTTTTGTACCAAATAATCCTCAGATTCACTCTGACCAGCGGATGTGCTCGCCTCCACAGAGCCCAGTGATTAATAGCAGCTGTGGACCTCTGCGTGCTGTCAGTCAGAAGCACAGCAGGGCGCTGGGGTGCTCAAATGCAAAAGGCCTTTAGAGAAACAATCTGGGGTGACACAGTTGCGTCCCACTGGCCCCTTTTCTCACAGCCTTTTCCCCTCTGCTGCACCAGCCCGCCTCACTTCCCCGCTGCAGCCAGTGTGCTTAGTGCCTGCATCGGGCCCAGCCCCACCCCTTTTTGTATCTGTAACATATATTAATTAGTTGTCCTAAAACAGATGATTCAATTGCTTTCTTCGAATTTTTACTAAGAACTGTACAGCCTCACTATTTTTGTCTGATTCCTACCCGCACTCTGTGTGGAAAATTATTTTCTATGCAGCCAGAGAGATAGTACAGCAGGTAGGGCACTTGCTTTGCACATCGCTGACCTGGGTCCATCCTCTGCATTCCATATGGTCCCCTGAGCACCACCAGGCCTAACTCCTGAGTGCAGAGCCAGGAGTAAGCCCTGGGAAAAACTATTTCTATTTTCTATTTGACTGATGAATGTGGTTTTTCCTTTATTTCTTAAAGTTCAGGAAATTAATTATAGCTTCTGCAGTCTTTGTTCTATATGTAATCTTTGCATAGGGTGTCTTATGCCCCCCCCGCCCCCCACTAAATCACATCCATGTAAGATTACTGAAAAATCAGAGTATCAGGTCAAAACAAAAAAATTAAAGTGACCTTAAGAGGCAGTATCTTCTCGCTGTATGGGGGACAGGAAGGTGGACACCTCAGTTCCCATCAAGTGCTTTACAGCTCTGAAGATCTGCTGCATTCACCTCATCTGGAAGCTCACTCACAAATACAACTGAGGAAGCTGCAGTGTTGATAGAGGTCTTTAGAAAGTGACCACACAGCCGCGCTGACCGACTGCTAGCCTTTCCGTCTGCTGGTTCGGAGATGGCTCAGCGGCTGCCCAGTGCTCTCTGTCTCAGGACTTTTTCAGACTTTTCTTACACTGCCTTTCCTTCCCTTCACGTGCCAAGCTTGAAGCAGGGTTTGGTCTCCTGCTCATCTGCTTTACTTGTGCCACCAAGGAATCTAGTTTATCTTTCATCTCACTCATGTTCTTTAGTAATATACTTTGGGGTCAACTTTTTCCAGGTGTTTTTATATATATATATAAATATATATATGGATGGATGGATTTTGTGTTCCCCTTCCATGTAAGTAACAATTCACAATCATAATGTAAAGAAGAGATTAAAAACTTGATGTATTGTACTAGATGCTTTCCTAATGTACAGAATCTCCTTGTAAAATAAGTAATTGCATTGTATATCAGTCTTCCCATCTATGTTAATTATTGAAATATTTTAGAATTTTAAAAGACCATGATCTGTGTGAATTATTTTTTTGTGTTCTGGTTTCTTTATTTAAAATGTTTTCTACTTTATTTAAAATGTTTTCAGTCAAGGGACTGGAGCAATAGCACAGCAGGTAGGGTGTTTGCCTTGCACGCGGGTGACCTGAGTTCGATTCCCAGCATCCCATATGGTCCCCTGAGCACCGCCAGGGGTAATTCCTGAGTGCAGAACCAGGAGTAACCCCTGTGCTTTGCCAGGTGTGAGCCACAAAGCAAAAAAAAAAAAATGTTTTCAGTCAAGAGACAGGAGTGATGTATACAGAGGTTGACTCTTTGCTCAGAATAACTCCTAGAGAGGCACAAAGGACATGACTCTGGTCAGTCACATGCAAGGTAAGTGCCCTACTCGCTATACTCTGTCCAGTGCCTCCCTGATCAGTTCAGCACTGGGTTTCAAGCCCTCTCATTGTCTCCCAGGTCTGTCATCACCCATTCTCCACCCCTGTAAGTTCCTTCAAGTTGTAGCTTAGATTTTAACTCCCTTGAATAAATGCTCCAGCATTAGCAAATTGTTCATTTGTTCTACCCTCGAGATTCTCAAAATTTTTATTTATTATACATTTCAAAATGACCCAGTACATACTAACATTAATGAAAATTTTAATGAAAATTAACTGTTTCAAAACTAAAAAGATTGGGGCTGGAGAGATAGCACAGCGGGTAGGGCGTTTGCCTTGCACACGGCTGACCCAGGTTCGATTCCCAGCATCCCATATGGTCCCCTGAGCACCGCCAGGAGTAACTCCTGAGTGCAGAGCCAAGAGTAACCCCTGTGCATCACCAGGTGTGACCCAAAAAGCAAAAAATAAATAAAAATAAAGGCAAATATTAAAAAAAAACTAAAAAGATTAAACTATAGAAAATTTCTATAGGCCAAACCCATCCTCGGACTATAGAAATTTCTCAGTTGGCTGGGGTTAAAAATTCTTCATTCTTGGGGCTGGAGTGATAGCACAGTGGGTAGGGCGTTTGCCTTGCACGTGGCCGACCCGGGTTCGATTCCCCAGCATCCCATATGGTCCCCCGAGCACCACCAGGAGTAATTTCTGAGTGCAGAGCCAGGAGTAACTCCTGAGCGTTGCCGGGTGTGACCCAAATAGAAAAAATTTGCATTCTTTTTTGGGGGTGTTGGGGGTACACCCACCTATGCTCAGAGCTTATTCCTGGTTCTGTGCTCAGAGATCACTCCTGGTGGAGCTCATGGGACAGTATGAGGTGAAAGGGGTCAAACCCAGGTTTGCCAAATGTAAGGCAAGCACCCTATCTGCTATTTTATTTCTCTGGCCCTTCATCAAGAACATTCTTGAAACCAGGAATGTGGCTCAGAGCTTACCTCATATGTATGAAGCCCTGAGTTCCATCAATCCTTTGGACCAGCAGTTTTCTTTTAAATATGCTTTTCAACTACTTTTCTTGGAGGGGAGGGCTTACTCTACACTCAAGGATCAGGGGACCACAAGTGATGCTGGGGATCAAAGCTGAGTCAGCCACATTTAAGGCAAGTACCCTACACACTGTACTATCATGCCAATCCTACAACTTTTTTATTTTTTAAAAGGGGGCATGTTGGCCTGTTCCCCCTGGCGGCCTGGTGGTTGCCATTCTCCAGAGACCACTGGACAGTCAGGTTTGGGCCCACAGTGACAAGACACATGGGGCCTCACAGGATGGGGGTGGAGCCGGCCCTTTCCTCCCCATCCCAATGAGATCCCGAGTCGCTGCCCATGAATGGCCTCTGGCTCTTGATGAAGCTGCTTAATGGCCATGATCCCAGAGACTCAGAAACAAATCTTGAAACCCAACGACTTCTGGAAGAAATGCATCCGGACCACGCAGTAGGTTACTGTCACCAGGTCACCCCAGGGGGGAAAGGGTGCTGCCCCTCCACCTGCTCCCCCTTGGCGGCTCGGTGGCCACCATCCACCAAAGACCACTGGACTGTCAGGTTTGGGCCTGCAGTGACAAGACACGTGGGGCCTCACAGGATGGGTGTGGAACCGGCTCTTTCCCCCCCACCCCAACAAGACCCCAAGTCACCGCCAACAAGTGGCCTCTCTGGCTCCTGATCAAGCCGTTTAATGGCCATGATCCCAGAGACTCAGAAATAAATCTCAGAACCCAGCAGCTTTTGGCAGAAATCGTCCAGTCCCTGCAATAGATTACTGGCACTGGGCCACCCCAGGTGGGAATAGGTTTCGTGCCTTGGTCTGTTCCCCAGAGGCCACTGGTCAGATTTGGGCCCGCAGTGACAAGACACACGGGGCCTCATGGGATGAGGGTGGAGCCAGCCCTTTCCTCCCCATCCCAACAAGACCCTGAGTCGTCACCCAGGAATGGCCTCTCTGGCTCCTGATCAAACTGCTTAATGGCCATGATCCCAGAGACTCAGAAACAAATCTCAGAACCTAGTGGCCTTTGGCTGAAATGCATCCAGACCCCACAGTAGGTTACTGTTGCTGGGCCACCCCAGGGGGGGAAAGGGTGCTGTCCCTCCACCTGCTCCCCCTTGGCAGCTCAGTGCCCACCATCCACCAGAGGCCATCGGACAGTCAGGTTTGGGCCCACAGTGACGAGACACGCAGGGCCTCACAGGATGGGGGTGGAGCCAGCCCTTTCCCCCCCCACCCCTATGAGACCCCAGTCTCCTCCCACAAACGGCCTCTCTGGATCCTGATCAAGCTGCTTAACAGCCATGATTCAAGAGACTCAGGAACAAATCTCGGAACCCAGCAGGTTTTGGCAGAAATCCCTCCAGATTTAATTGTTAAAATTTTGGAATTTCAGAATCATGCTGCCACTACTGCAGTCACGCAACGTCATATGTTATTCATAACCAGCAATAGAAAACAAATTGTCTACTGTTGCCTTTTCAGCAGATCTGAGTGTTGGGGTAAAATTCCAAATAATAATGGTGGGTCTGGTGTCAAAATATTGAATGTGATCAAAGTAGAGAGAGAGAGAGTAATGTGGAAATCATCTGTCCCACAGGTAGGGGGAGGTTATGGGATGAGGGCATACTGGGGTTGTTGGGGGTGGAGAATGGGCACGGGTGAAGGTACGGGTGTTTCATTGTATGACTGAGACTTAGACCTGAAAGTTTTGTAACTACTCTCACGGTGATTCAGTAAATAAAACTATAAAAAATGAAAAAAAAGTAAGGTGGAGTTCATGCACAATTCAATCAGCTAATCAGTGGCTGAATAAATAGCAGTACTCCTACATTTAAAAAAATTATACTGAAAAATTTAAAAAAATATATACTGAACTGCATCTCAGGTTTATTTTTTTTTAATTTTTATTAGTGAGACACCATGAGGTACAGTTGTAGACTTACTGAAAAATATTTTTTTAAATTAAAAAAAAAAAGGGGGGTACGTCCAGTAATGCTCAGAGGTTATTCCTGAGTACAACTGGTTGTGGTCTCAAAATGAGCCAAAAAACAAAAGCTGATTAATAATACCAATATCTTGACATTATTGGGATAGTAAATGCATAAAAATGTACAGGAGGTACACCAGATACTTTCATTCTAGCCCAGTTGCAATGACTGTATGTTAATTATCTAATATTTATTCATCTCTTACTACAAATGTTTTCATGTTGCAACAGTTCATGCAACATCTCTTTTTGCAGAGTGGGGGGGCACACCAGGAGGCGCTGGGGGGTAATTCCTGGCTCTGCACTCTGGAATCACTCCTGATAGTACCTAGGGCATCATATAGGGTGTAGGTGCAAGACAAATGCATTATACACCATACTCTTTCCAGCCAGTTACTGGTTTTTGTTTGTTTGTTTTTAAAATAGGGAGGGGTTTGCTGGGGGGCAGAGCAATTGGTAGAGCACTTGCCAAGCACACACCAGCGCTGGGTTCGTGAAATCCCTTGCATCCCATATGGTCCCAGAGCATTGCCAGGAGTGATTCCTGAGCACAGGGCCAAATGTAACCAGGTATTGTCAGGTGTGGGCCCCAAAAACACTGATAACAGGGCCAGAGAGGTAGTAAAGGTGTTTACTACCTCACACCAGGCCAACCCTGGTTCAAACCTTGACCCCACATGATCCCTAAACACTGCCTGAAAAAGAGAGAAAACAGACGTTCTTTTCCCTAAAACAATGTTTTATGTGCTAATCACAAAGCTTTTTCCAGAGGAGATCCCATATTCTGCTGAACCAGGAGTATCCCCCATACACAGTCCAGGGTCTGGCCCTAAATCAAACAAAACTGCAAGACGTAATTCTCAGTTTTAAATTAAATTTAATAACTGTTATTTCAAGCTATAATCTTAAACAGTGCACACATAGTTGGAGATGACACCCAGCGGTAGCACATTTCTTACTATGAGAGGCTGGATTCAATTCCTTGGGCCTGCAAAAATAAATAAAAAAAACACATCCACTTCTCTTGGCGTTTCGAGTACGTAGTTACTCTATTCCAGCTGACTAGGAATTAAACGAGCACCCCTGAGTGGGTGTGCCCCACCTCCCCCTAAAGGTGTTTCTAAGCACATAATTCATTTCTAAGCATACAATTCAGGAGAATTTAAGTACATTTAGATTGCAGTGCACTCTGATACACCTCCACGTTTACCAAACCTTTACTTCACACTAGTTGGTAGAGGCTCACTGCCTTCCTAGACCGTTTCCCCGGGAGTCTTTTTATTTTTTCCCTTTTTGGGGGTCACACCGGGCGATGCTCAGCGGTCACTCCTGACTTTGCACTCAGGAATTACTCCTGGCGGTGCTCGGAGGACCGAATGGGACGCAGGGGATTGAGCCCGGGTTGGCCGGGGACAAGGCAGAGTCCCCACCCCCTACGCTGTCGCTCCAGCCCCTCCTCGGGAGTTTTGGCCCCTTTCACTCGCGCGTTCCAGCACCGCGAGACTCATGGGCGGGGCAGTCGGCGGCAAATTCCCGGCATCCTCCGGGGGCTCTCCCAGTTCCGAGCCTGCGCGTGGCGCCGCGCAGGCGCAGTCGCCGTACCTCGACTTCCGCGCGCTTCATTGCCTATAAATAGGCCTGCCCCACCGCTCTCCGGTCTTTCTGGGCCCACGCGCTGCTGGAAGTTCCTTCTTGGTGAGTGTGCTTCCTTATCGCCCCCTGATTGTAGGTCTCGGGATCTCATTCTCGGTTAGTGCCTTCCGGAGGGCCACCCTTCCCTAGAAGGGCCGCCCGTGCACGTGCAGCGGGGCCGGGATTGGCGGCTCTGGAGCCCCGCGGGGAGGCCTCTGCTGGCGCCGGGCGTGCAGGGCCACGGCCCGACCGGAATGCTCTCTGCATATGGCATTTGCACGTGAGTTTTTAAGTACGATTGAGCGGGATTTCTTGTTTCCTGGGGGAGCTTCTGATCGGCAGCCAGAGCTAAGTAACTAATTGGCTGCCAACCGGTTATGGGGCGGAATTTAGACGAGTGCATGGAATTTTAGGTGCTGTCCTACGAGGGCAGCGACTGGCGTGACCAACGTGGATATCCCGGGAGGTCACTCTCCCCGGGCACTGTCCAGGTGGCGTAAGGGAGCATAGGGCTCAGCCCTGTGATGTACAGTCCCATTCCACACCGTTGGAGATCAAGCCGGGCCTCGAGTCTGCGCCTGCATATTCCTACAGCTTCCCAGAGTCCTCTGGACTATGACTGGGGAGACAAACCATGCAGGAAACAGCTCTTTAGAGCACCCAGTCCGTCTGGATGTAAATTTGAAATCATACTTTATTTTAACCCACTCTGTCTACTGGTGGATTAAGCTCTTGATCTTGTTTTGCAGCTTCTGAAGCAATTCCACATGATCTGGCTTGGTAAGTAGATCTGATTGCGTTCGTATTATTTGACTTTCTCTGAAAACAATTGAGTAGGATTTGGTGTTGATTTGTATCAGATACGGAGTCAGAGTTTGCCTGGGTTACATTTAAGCGGGATTCATCTGGTAATCAAGGAATTGTGGGACTTGCTAGACTTGAGATAATTCGCACCATTTTTCAGTGGCTCGTTATAAGCTTGGCTGTCTGCTGATTGATGTGTCTTGTCGCCTGTTAGATTCCAACGTGGATATCCCGGGAGGTCACTCTCCCCGGGCACTGTCCAGGTGGCGTAGAGGAGCATAGGGCTTGCCCTGTGATGTACAGTCCTTTTCCACACCGTTGGAGATCAAGCCGGGCCTCGAGTCTGCGCCTGCATATTCCTACAGCTTCCCAGAGTCCTCTGGACCATGACTGGGGAGACAAACCATGCAGGAAACAGTCTCTTAAAAAGTTATTGTTTTCCTTTTTTTTAATGGGAGAATGAAGTTTCTGAGTTTCTTTTCTTGTTTTCATTCAGGAAAGAAGAGGATCCAGATTTCCACGTAATCGGTTGATTTCAAATTTTAGATTTCTTAATTTGGTAGAAAGATAAAATTGAAGGATGTGTACTGAGGTATCATTTTGAGATGCTGAGCTAAACTTTTTAGCACCAGTTACACTGAAAGACGACCTTTCTAAAGAATGCCTGCATTGCTGGTGGGGGTGGTTACATCAATGCTTAGGGATCTCTCCTGGCAGTGGTTGGGACTACATAGGCTATTAGTGATTAGATTCAACGAAGTCTAATCCATTTTTTTTATTGTGTAATTTCTGGATGGGACATAAAAGCCCCTGAAAAAGTGATCTTGTGATGTATTGATGAATTTCAATAAAGGTCCTTGCTTGTTTCTTTGTCTCGTGTTTTGTGCATAATAGCTCCTGGACAGGGTTGGGGTGTAAGGGTGGGATGCTGACTCTTTGAGAGTTACAGAGTCATGGTTTGGTGCTGCTCAGTTGCTTGTTTTCTACAATAAATGAGGCAATTGGGAAAGGTTGAAATTGTGCAGCTCTTGTGTTGGGCCACATGTCAGCCTGCCTGAAAGTGATGTGGTAGCTGAGTCACAATGGAAGCTTTGTCCAGACTGCCCCTGCAGAGGAGAGTCCTGGGGGATGGGGTCCTAGCGGGGAATCATCTAGAAGGTAGTCTACACCACTTGTCCGACCCAGTTGGTGTCTGGTCATGTGACAATGCGGGGGTATTAAAACTAAGGTTTCTGGATGTTTGGCCATCTAGAGCTGATGTAAAAAGAGTAGTGGTCCACCAAATCCCAGCACCGTTGTCCCCAAGCTTTGGGTGAACCAAGGTAAGTTTGTATGATTGTGCATGTCAAGTGATTGCTGCAGCATTGGTTTTGAAGGCTGTTATTTGTAGGCCATCTCATGACTTGACTGAAACCTTGGGTTATGTGTGTACATATGAATTGCAGTGTTTTATTTGGAAAGGCATTGGGCCAGAGCTAGCAGTCTTTGGTTACTTGAAAATCTATAGCAGGCCAGAGTGATTGTACAAGTGAAGCTTGTCTCACACGCAATTGACCTAGCTTTGATTACAGCATTAGAGTACCCTGAATAGGGCCAGGAGTAAGCCTGTTCTAAAATCTAGGACATGAGTCCACTGTCAGAATCCTGCCTGGGGCTGGGGGAAAGTGCAGTTAGGATAGAGAAGGTACCATTACAACAATAATGGTTGGAAGGCTTACGCGGGAGGTGTGTGCTGAAAGTGGGTAAGAAAATAAGGCTTATGGCTTCTGCTACCTGCCATAAATATAAGCAGGCTGGGGGTGGGGGGACAGGAATGCTTTCATTTAAGACCCAGATTTGACTTGTTCCTGTAGGTGGTTGCAAGCTTCTATTCCTAGTGTCATATGGTCGTGCCAGCACCGCTGGGTGCACAAACAACTACCAGATTTATTGCTGTCTTAATAAAATTTAAATGAAAATATTTACAGGGCCAGAGCGATAATACAACGGGTAGTGCGTTTGCCTTGCACTTGGCCAACCTAGGTTCAACTCCCGGCATCCCATGATTCCCCAAGCACCACCAGGAGTAATTCCTGAGTGCAGAGCCAGGAGGGACCCCGGAGAATCACTGGGTGTGACCCAAAAAGAAAAAAACTATCTTATGAAAATTGCAAAAATTAAAATCCTTAGGGGCTGTAGTTACAGTACAATTGATAGGGTGTTTTATCTGCATGCCCCCAACCTGGTTTTTATCCCCAGCATAACTTCCAGTCCCATGAGCACCACCAGGAGTGATTCCTGAGTGCAGAGTGAGAAGCAACCCTTGAGCATCACAGGATGTGGCCTAAACCAAAAGTCTTAAAAATTAAATCCATAGTGGCTGAGATTAGTACCAGGAGGTTTGCTCCATGGCTTGGAGGTCAGCCACACATGCTAGAGGAAAAGGGAGCTCATATAGAGAAGGGAGCACCAAATAAAGGGTGTTGTGAGGATCCTCCCAGGATGGGAGAAGCATGCTGAAAGTAGACCATAGGCCAAACATGATTGCCATTCAGTGCCTCTTTCACAAACCACAGCACCCAGAAGGAGAGAGAGAACAAAAGGAAATGCCCTGCCACAGAGGTGGGGGGATAGGGGGTGTGAGGGATACTGGGATCCGTGGTGGTGGAAAATGGGCACTGGTGGAGAGATGGGTATTTGATCATTGTATAATTGAAACCCAAGCACAAAAATTTGTGAGTCTACAACTGTACCTCATGGTGCTTCACTAATAAAACATTTTTTAAAAATACAATTTTTATGACACAGGTGGGGGTGGGCACTGGTGGAGGGATGGGTACTCAATCACTGAAACACAAGCATGAAAGTTTGTAATCTGTAATTGTTCATCACAATGATTCATTAATAAAAATTTTTTAAAAAATTAAATCCATATACCATAGGAGATGGGATTAAGGAGTTACGTCTTAAGATCTGGCCCCCCGTTGTCTTCCAGGAGTGATCCCTGATGAGCACAAAGCCAGGAGTAAGCCCTGAGCACCACCTTGGTGTGGCCCCTTCCAAAAACTGTTGGCAGTGGACATACCATTTATATTTCCTGCATGATCCAATGGAAGGTGCTCTTGAGCAAAGTATCACCAGTTAGATATATTTACTGATAATATCCAAGTCATCCAGTTTATGAACAGCCCTTCTCTTTTTTTTTTTTTCTTTTTCTTTTTGGGTCACACCCGGTCACGGGGGTTACTCCTCGTTTTGCACTCAGGAATTACTTCTGGAGGTGCTCAGGGGACCATATGGGATGCTGGGAATTGAACCCAGGTCAGCCACATGCAAGGCAAATGCCCTACCTGCAATGCTATCACTCCAGCCCCACAGTCCTGCTCTTAACAAGGCCTTGGTTTTCAAATCTTAATATAAGGTGACTCAAGGTTAAGTCACAGATGCTTGAAAGTTATCTTTCTTGAGCAGTGTCATACTTTTTGTCATGACTGAAGGTTTTCAAATCTGTTACTTGTTGGTGGAGGAGGGGTGACCCACATCCAGTGGTGCTCAGGGCTACTGCTGGTTTTGTGCTCATTGATACATATTATCCTGGCAGTGCTCAGGGATAATATGTATCAATGTCAGGTAGCCCCCAAATTAAAAGGTTTTTTGAGGGGGCTTTTGTGTTTTGCAGCCATACCTTGCAGTGCTCAGTAGAGCCAACTGCTTGAGCAACATGCTGAACCAGGGATCTGACCTAGGCTTCAACATACAAATCATGTGCCCAGAAATAGTACTGAGAAATAGTACAGTGGGTAGGGAGTTTGCCTTGCATGTGGCAGATATCCATATTCAATCCCCAGCATCCCATATGGTCCCCTGAGCACCACCAAGAGTCATTCCTGAGTGCCAAGCCAGGAGTAACCCTTGAACATTGCCAGCTGTTGCCAACATAATAATAACATGGGGAGGCTAGAGGGATAAAATAGTGAGGTGCTTTCCTTACATGTAGCTGACCCAGTTTCAATTCCAGGTTCAATTCCCAACATCCCATATGGTCCCCCGAATCCTACCAAGAGTGATCTCTGAGCGCAGATTCAGGAGTAAGCCCTGAGCATTGCTGGGTGTGATCCCAAAACCAAAAAATATGAACTATAATAAACCTTGCTATTTTTACCACACTGTCTGGAGGGAAGGTGCTCAGTGAAATAAGCAGTATTAGTGTTTTCCTACAACCTGAGAATTTTTTTTTTAATCCTTTTTGGGTCACACCCAGCAATGCTCAGGGGTTACTCCTGGCTTTGCACTCAGGAATTACTTCTGGCAGTGTTCAGGGGACTATATGGAATGCCGGGGATCGAACCTGGGTCGGCCACATGCAAGGCAAACGCCCTACCCACTGTGCTATCGCTCCGGCCCCAACCTGAGAATTTTTAAATTTTAGATCAAATTTTAAAGTAGGTCTTAGGTAACAAACTGGATAGGAAAATATTCAAAAGTTCTGAGAGAGAGTTCAACAGGCTGGAGCACATTCTCAGCATGCAGGAGGCCCTTGGTAGCTCTTTGGCACTGGATGGATGCCTGAGGACCAGCAGAGTTGACCCCCTGCACAGAGGAGAACCGTGGGTTGTGGCCCCCAAACAAAGAAAAGTCAGAGTAGCTGAAGCAATGCTGTCCCGTGTTCTAAGACCCACCCATTTTAGGAATACAACCCGCAGAGCTGGAGAGATTGCTTAGAGAGATAGACATGCTTTGTATTCTGAGGCACAGGGTGCCCTGAGCATTGGGAGGTGTGATCCTAAAACTCCTACCTGCAGACCTTTCCCTACAGGCTCTTCTGGCCTTTCCTTACCTGTAGGCAGATAGTCATCCTTTTGAAGTCTGCCTTCCTGTGTCTGAACCCTGATACAATTCATTGCTGTTCATGTGACTTGAACTAACCAACCTTTCCTATCTTGACTTCCTCATCCATAAGAATATCTTTTGGAGGAGAGAGAGAACAAAAGGGAATGCCCTGCCTCAGGGGTGAGGTGGGATGAGGGGGAGGGGGGATGCTGGGAGCATTGGAGGTGGGGAATAGGCACCGGTGGAAGGATGGATACTCAATCACTGTATGACTAAAACCCAAGCACAAAAATTTGTAAGGTCAACAACTATTACCACATGGAGTTTCACTAATAAAAAATTTTTAAAAAAATATCCTTTGGGATTATTATGAGAGATGAGTTAGTTTTGGGAAAATTTGTTAGTCTGATAGTAGTCACAGCTTGTTAAATAGTGCCTTACCTGCTATACAGTCCCTCTGGTCCCTGGAGCCATGCTTTATAATGTAGAAGTTTCAGGTTTGATCCCTGACAACCATATGATCCTCTGAGCACTGCCAGGAAAGAGCACCAAACCAGTATTTTCTGCACACCATCAGGTGTGGCCTAAAAACAAAACCCCCAAATATTAAGTTTCAGACACATGTGTTGTCAGTACATGTTCCCAACACACATGGCACCAGCGCTCATGCTGCTGGGCACATGTCACATACATGCTGCATGCACACACACACACAACCCATATCTCCATACCTGTCCTCTTGAGATGTGTTCTTTTCTTTTTTTTTTGCCTTTTTTTTTTTTTTTTTTTTTGCTTTTTGGGTCATACCCAGCAATACACAGCGGTTACTCCTGGCTCCGCACTCAGGAATTACTCCTTGTGGTGCTGATGGGACCATATGGGATGCCGAGGATTGAACTTGGGACAGCCGCGTGCAAGGCAAACGCCCTACCCACTAAACTATCGCTCCAGCTCAAGATGTGTCCTTTGGGCCCCTCCACTCTAGAGAGGCCTGTGTTGAGCACAGGTTTTATCTCCCTTTATTTCATAATAAACCTGTTATGTGTACTTAAAAAAA